TTAAAAAAAAAAAAAAAAAAAGAAAATTACTGAGGCTGTAGTACAAAAGGCAGATTATAAGTGAGAGAGCCCAGAAGTAGCAAGGACAGTGATGAGAATGCTCTCTGCCAACCAGACAACCAAGGGACATATAAGGGACTTGGTGGTAGGAAAGGTAGTAGAAGAATCAATCAATTTTTTAAAATTAAGTGTCTGCATATGATTCAGAGAAGAATAGGAGGTATGGGGATGTAGCTCAGTGGCTGAACACTTGCCTAACATGCATGAATCTCTGGATTCAATCCCCAGCACTACCAAAAAAAGAAGGAAGAAGGCATAATTTCTGCCCTCAAGGAGTTTCTGTTCTAGTTATGAACAGAGGAAACACACACATAAAAAGACACTATATAGAACACATTCAGTTTGTACTAACAGGCCATGGTATCAGGGATCAGGCATTTTTCTTTTTTTTTTAATATTTATTTTTTAGGTTTTTAAGACACAATATCTTTATTTTACATTTATGTGTTGCTGAGGATGGAACCCAGTGCCTCATGCCTGCTAAGCGAGCATTTTACCACTGAGCCACAACCCCAGCCCCAGGCATTTTTCTTGATTGTTAGATTTCATTTCCAAGGTTACTTCATGGTCCAGAGTAGCTGTTGAAGTTCCAGCCATTACTTCTGCATTCCAACCAACTGGAAGAAGAAAGGAAAAAAGAAGATATACTCCTTCCCTTTAATAACACTTCTCAGAGGTTGTACACATTACTATTCACATTCTACATAGTCACAAAACCATACCTAAATGCAAGGGAAGCCTTCGACTGCATATTACTAAGGAAGATGAGAGAGGTTGGGGGATAACAAGTAGGTCTCTGCCATATCATTCTTCACATATATTTATGCTTGGAGCTCAGAAGAGGGACCTATTGTTTTAGGTTAGGTAATTTGAGTTAGGTAGTTATAGGTAGGGATTCTGGAGATGAGGGAAACACTAGTCACAAACAAATCCTAGGGTTAGGGAATGGAAGGAGAGCTGTCCCAGGAGGGAGTCCAGAGTAGGGCAGGATGAAGTTGATCAGAGGTGCTGGGCCAGCTTGTGGAGAATCTTCAATCAGAAACATTCTTTAAGATACTAAAAGCACCAGCCAAGGAGTTCAGATTTCTTGTGTAAATGAATAAAGAATATTTCTGAACCAAGGAGAAATGTGATCTATTTTCCATAGTTGGAAGTTCCCTCCATGTGTGCAGGAAAGTGGGGAAGGCAGTGCTGGAAGCAGATGTGCCAGCTAAGAGGTCGTCCCATAGGCTGGGAGTGAGCAGCGAAGGCCGGGCTAGGTGGGATGGAAGAGAAGGTGCAGGTGAGAGGCCTCGGGAAGGAGACTTACTGGGCCTCAGTGAGAGATGGGCTGTGATGTGAGATAGGGAGAGATGTGACCCCAGAAATACTATGTCCTCCAAGTGCAGTTACTGCCTATTGGGCTTCCCAGGCTGGAGGATAGAGCCTCATGAAAAAAGAGTGAGGACCTTGCTTGGCTGCAACAAGATGTGAGGCTCTGCCCCAAGACTCCCTGGCTTTGGAAAACCAGCTGCCCCCAGTGGAATAGTTTCCATTCTGCGTAACTAGGGAGTGTGTGGGTCTGGCTAACCACGGGGAGGGGCTGAGGAGCCAACAAACAGATCAGATTGCTCTGTGGTAACTTTTTAGCTAGGGCCTGGGGGCTTAGCTGGGAAACAGCAGTTCTCCTATCTGAGATTGTATACTTCTTGACTGGTAGGTGACGTGTGGTTTTAGCCCAGATCAAGTTACCTGTGGAGGTTACCTGATGTCAGGTGTAAGGTCAACAGTGGGGCAGAGGGTAGAACTGGTACTTTGTTGGCATTGGGGACATGGTCAACTTCCTTTGCCTTCTCAACATCCAACAGAGGAATCTTCCATGGTAAAGAAGAGTCCTCAAGAATGTAATTGAATTTAGAAAAAGCCATCTCTTTGTCTGAGTGATGCTGGCCTTCTAGGACCTCTCCTTCATTTGACTTCCCTGGTGTGAATTGCAGAGCTCAGCCGGAGACATCTGGCTAATCCATTTCTTTTTCCTGCAGGCTGCTCAGGAACTTGGCCCATGATTGCTCAGCAAGTCATTTCTGGTTATAGAGTCATCAGTGACCACAGAAGCACGTTCTCCAGACATGGCTTTGAGCCCGGCAGTTTGTCCCCAAAATGGCTTCAAGCTATTGCAGACACTTAAGTCAAAGAGCACCCACTTTTCTGATGCCTTTTTTTTGTGGGGGGGAGGTACTGAGGATTGAACCCAGGGGCACTTAACCACTGAGCCACATCCCTGGCCCTTTTTTATATTTTGTTTAGAGAAAGGGTCTCGCTGAGTTGCTTAGGGCCTCACTATGTTGCTGAGGCTGGCTCTGAACTGGTGATCCTCCTACCTTCGCCTCTAGAGCTGCTGGGATTACAGGAATGTGCCACTACACCTGGCTGATGATGCCTTCTGTTATAAGGAGTCTGAGCAGCTTTCCCAGACATCTAACAGAGCATCCCTAGAGAAATCTGCACGTGTGGCTAGAATTGTGATGAACCCATGTGCTCCCGTACACAAGGTCCTATTCAGAGGGAGAAGGGTAACAGTGGGGAGCTGCGCTATTGAGGCTGTGGAGTTTGACAGGAAGGGACTGGAGGCCTACAATCCAGGGAGGCCCTACATTATTAGAACTCTGTGTCATGAAGGGGACTGCTTAGAGTATTTACTCCCATTCTACCAAGGCGGAGAGGGGTTGCCTATCTTGCTAGTGTGTTTGACTGTTCCAGTGATTTTCCTTCTGTTCTAGGATTGATAATTCTTCACCCAGAACTTTTTGCAGTTGATTCAGGCTCATTCTAGACTGTCTCAAATTCTCCAAACCCAAGTTCTGGAGAGGAGCATAACAGGAGGATGGGAGGGAGGCGGGCGAGAAGAGCAGGTTTGAGCTTAATCTCCCCAGGATGGCAACAAAGCCAGCTTTGGATCTGTTGGTTCTGCAGTGAGATATGGCCATCCATCCATTCCTTCTTCTCCCCTGTGCTACTCCAGCCAGTCATGGGACTGGGGAAAAGTGTGGGTGTTTGGAGGGGCTGCTGTACTTCCCTTGTCTGAACCATTTTTAATTTTAGCTCTTGGCCCTTTGACCAAACTCTGATTTTTTTGGTTTCCCTTTGACAGGATTGCAGTTTTGCGGGGGAATTAGGAGAAGTTGTGCTAAAACAAGATAAACAAACAGTGACGTGGAGGTGGCAGCATTGTAGGCCATGGGCTGGGCTGGCTGACTGGCCAGCCTGCTGTCTGGGAGGGCTGGATGGAAGAGGACTCCCGCCCTGCACACCGGCCAGCTGGCTTGTGTTAGAGCACTGGCTGAAAATAACTCTCATTGTCTGGGAGCTGCTACTGTGGCAGACTGTGTCTGCCAAGGAGCCAAGCTGGAGGAGTTGGTGCCTTCTACCTCCTTGAGTCCTCACCCTTTGGGAGTAGTGCCCAGCTTTGCCCACTGTCCACCAGTAGACACATAGAGGGCAGGCTGGACTATTCTGACTTTCTTTCCTTTGTGCCTTGGGTTGCTTTGGCTTAGGGGGCAGATTTGTTGTGTAAGGGGGATCCTTCTGCAGCAGCTTCCTGGACTCCCATGCGTTGTGCCTCCTCACTGCTTTCTACCTCTGCTCATCTTTCCAGTGGGCTGATCGGCAGATGCCAGGGAGGACTTAGCAGGAGCTTCGGCCAGGGGCTTAGTGGCAGGTTGAGAAGCATAAGGAACCTCACTTCACCTGTGGAGTTGTTCTAGATTTCAGCTCCCCAGGGCTCTCCATCCCTGTGGGTTGAGCACAGGAGCTGAGGCTTTCCCACTGGGAGATAGTCCAATCATAGCAAACTTGATAGAAAGTGGTTCTAAGAAAGAAGGCATAAATAGAATCACTAACTCACTTTCTTCTGTATTTGCTCAAAATAAATGGCCTCTTTGCTGGCCTTCTCTAAAGCCTCCACAATCCCTTTCCCAGGAACATTTCAGAAGTCTTTCTGCCTTTCTCTCAGAGGAGCTATGCCATATTTATCTCTGTTCCTAAGATTTATCATGATCAACTAGAACCAACAGAGACAGCTGAATAGGGAATTTTTGGTGGTTCCTATTTCTGTTACTTGGGTTTTCCCCAGGCGCGAGAAGACTGGCAGAGTAGGGGTAAGTCCCAGAGCAGGGCTTACAACTTTGAAGGAAACTCCAAACCCCACCAGCATTTCCCTTCTCCTGCAGTGGGGAGGAAATGGGGAGGGGCTAAGTGGCCTGGGGGTGCAGAGCAGGAAGGAGAAGGGAACCTCTGTGGGCAGAGCTACCTCCCTCTCCTGTGGCTTCACTGGGGCCAACAGGGATCAGGTAGGGAGTAAGGAAACTTTGCTGGCAGGACTGGGCCCTTGCTCACATGGAACCCACCAAACAGGCAATCTGCCTGGCCTCCAATTTTCAGTAAGCTAGTGCAGCTATGCTGGAGGAACATCAGATCCACGCCTTTTGGCTTCTTCCTATTATGGGTTTTTATTACCAGGCTTCTTGCTGGTTCCCTCTGACTTAGGAATGAGTCCCAGAGTTGCTTTCAGTTTGAGTTCATCTTCCCCTTCTCCTCCTGTTTGGTATTGTGACTGTTTGGATTGTGACTTGTCTCCTCTACTCCATCTTCCTTTCCTAACTCCAAGGATGGTACTATTCAAATTACCTACTAGTCTTATATGAAACAGAGGGATCAAAGAAGGAGTAAAAGATTACTCTGTAGCCAGAGTGTTGAAACAATTGCTGAAGGAGAGACAGGAGCAAAGATAGATAAGCCAGAAGCAAGAAGACAGGTCCCTAGATGTCATCATTGTACAGATTTTTGGGGAAGAAGTAGAGAACTGTGTCAACACCCACAGTGTTCCAGACACATACAGACATATGTTGTTTATCATTTGACCCTCATAAAGCCCTGTGAAGTAGTGAGATTATCTCCAATTTATGGATGAATTCACTGAGGTTCCATAGTTATTTTGGGCCCTCTGGCTCCATATTCAGTGCCCTGTCCTCTCCAACACAGCTACTGCCTTCCTTGTTTAGTGAGGCTCTCACTGAGGAGTTAAGAAGAACTTCACAAATGGTAGAGAAACAAGTCTTCGACTGAGACCAGAACCGTGTCATTATTGCTCCCTGGCTGTTTCCAGAACTCAGGAAGTTGCTCTTCCGAAGGGTAGAGCGGCTTCCTCAGGACACTGGAACCCTGCCATCATGCATATTATCAGGTGGAGTAGGAGCCTTGGTTCATTGTCTGGCAGGAAAAGAACTGTCCTGGTCCTGCTGCGTTGGCTGGTAGCTCCCCCCATAGTTGGTAACCTGCTTCTTTTGAGAATGCTGGAGGTTGGGGATTACCCCCTACCCATCTTCTTCTCATCATACTTTAGTCCTCCCTGAAGAAGTAGAGAAGGCTGGGGCCACTGTCCAGAAAGTGCCACCAAAGTTCTAAGACAAAAGGATGTGAGCATGTAGTCAGGGCTGTTTCCTGCTTCTGCCACCTATTTTCAACTCCAGGAGTCCATTTTTCTGAGACACTAAAGTTTGACTAAGTCCCTGATTTGTCTCTTCTACGTTTTCAGATTAGGGTTCCCAAAGGGTATGATTTTGTCCATTCTTGAAGCCCAGAGAGGATCAAGCATTTCATCACCAGTTCACCTGGTGAGGAAGTGTGATACTGTGGCAACTGACAGTGTTGGCCATGATAGGAAGCTGGCATAGACAGGACATGAGTGAGGTCTGCCATAGTAGCAACAGGTTACCCCTCCCTCTCCCAACAGCTTCTTCCAGGGGAGACAACAGCAAACTATTTCCATGGCACATTCTTGGGAGAAGCAGTCAGATGACATTGATGTGCTTAGGATATGTACAGCCAGGACCAGCCCTAGTGACTGTGTCTACTCAGTTCTGTCTTGTGTTCTGCTAGTAGAATCCTGGCCCCAGGTAGACTTAAGACCAGCTCTGGGCCTGCCTTAGACCTTTGGGTTCCTATTTGTTAAGGTTTCCTGCTCCTGTCCTGTTATCTAAACAAACATATTGAGATTGGCCCTTAGCAAAGCAGTTCCAAGGAGAACATGGACTTCGCATTTGCCCCTCCTGCTGTTAACTGCACAGGCTGTGGGGAGGACTGTTAGCCCCTTTCCTGTGGATGTTAAGGCAGAGTGGTGGGGAGAGGTGCCATGAGGTAGTCTTCTCCCCTTCTTTCCTCCTCTTGCCTTCTATACTTCTCTTCCACTTGTAAAATCCAACCAGAGACCTCAACCCTGCTTCCTTTTTTGAGGCATAGTGACCCTGTTTCTATCTAGTATCCCAGAGCTATCTAGGGCCTCTTTCTTCGTGGTTTCTCTACCCTCCAGAACTGAACTGAGGACCTTGCCATGCGCTCTGCACTGAGCTAACTCCTCTACCCCTACCTGGTGCCTCTTAACCCTCAACTTACCCTCAACTTATCTTCAGCTTACCCTCCACTAGGTGCATGCCAGCATGAGAGTCTATAAAAATAGACATAGTTTCTTAGGAGTGAAATGAGCACCCAGTTGGTTTAATCATATGTGAGAGGGGCTGGGGATGTGGCTCAAGCGGTAGCACGCTCGCCTAGCATGCGTGCGGCCCGGGTTCGATCCTCAGCAGCACCACATACCAACAAAGATGTTGTGTCCGCCGAGAACTAAGAAAAAATAAATAAATGTTAAAAAAAAAAAATCATATGTGAGATAAGTACAAGATAAATAGATAGTATGGTAAATAAGTGATATTTAAGGATCTCCTCTCAATCCCTTAGAAAATGGAGGACCTCCTTCCAGTATTCTGCTTCTGGAATAATGCAGGGCCTATGTGACTTCTCCAACCCTGGCACACATAATTCATGTCCCCAGGGATGAGGATGTCAAGGAGTAGGTAGAGGTAAACTAAGTGGTCATGCTTGGATTACCAGGGAGTGGGAACTGGACACAGAGCAGTAGGCAGAGGAGACAAATGAGAGGTTGGCTCTCCAGGAGGCTCGGGAGAGACTAGATCCATGAAAAGTCATGTGGCTTTTCAGATGGCTATGGCACTTCAAATGAGGGATCATATTTGATTTAGGTCTGTGGGCAAGGTGCAATGATCTGAGCAAAGTGTCAGACTGCTTAAGAGGCATGGGTGGGACCTGGTCCAGGTAGCCCTACTGATGAGAGAGGAGAAGTGGCTTCAGGGAATGCGGGAGGGGAAAGGTGGCCTCTCTCACACATACTTTACTCAGTCTGTTCATTTAGCAAATAGTAATGTAATAAAATAAAATGATTCCTAGGCTCTCCTTCAGTCTTCTACATTAGAGTATCTCAAAGAGGGTTCTTGATAGTGCTCTGTGGGGGGTGTGTGTGTGTGTGTGTGTGTGTGCGCGCGCGCGCGCGCGCGCACACGCGCGCATGTTACTACAGATTGAACCCAGGAGCATTTTGCCTCAGAACTATATCCCCAGCCTTTGATAATTTTATTCTGAAACAGGGTCTTGCTAAGTTGCTGAGGCTGTCCTCAAATTTGTGATCCTCTTGCCTCAGCCTCCTGAGTCACTGGGATTATAGTTATATCTGGCTACTGCTGTGTCTTAATTGGAAGAGGTGTCATAAGAATACTACTAATACACAATTATGTAGTTTATGCAGATATCTCTATGTTGACAAATTGTTCTCTAGCTTCTCTATTTGGCCAGATTTTAATGACTCTTTTTAACATTTGCTATATTATCTATTAGTGAAGTTAAATTATGATTGATACAGTTTCTGAAGAACTTCTGAGATTTGGTTTTAAATTTAACTTTACTGCTTTTGTTTCATAATTGACTATCAAACTGTTTTATCCCTAAATTTTTATTTTAAAAAGCCTTCAAAAATAATCCCATGCCATTTAATAAATACAGCCATTTATTATTAGATTTAAAAAAAAGAATACTACTAATACTACTAATACTTGAAGTTCTAAACTTTTGTAAAAATGTTTCTAAAAATATTTGAGCAGTTTACTTTGCACATATGTTCTTCTCATTCACTTGCATCCTGATCCTGATTCAGGGAAAAGAGATAAAGTGGCTATATATATACATACATACATACATATATATATATATATATATATATATGTATATATATATATATATATATATATATTAGATAGTCTCTGGGTGACTCAGAGAACTTGCCTGTGCAAGTGTGTGATATAGGAAAGTTATCCATCTCGCAGGTGGAAAACCAAATTGAAAGTTGTTGCTTTAAATTGATTGCTTTCAAAGTTTTTTTTTCTTTAAAAAAGTTTTTTTAGTTGTTGATGGACCTTTATTTTATTCATTTATTTATATGTAGTGCTGAGAATTGAACCTAGTGCCTCACACATGCTAAGCAGGTGCTCTACTACTGAACCAGAACCCCAACCAGCTTTCAAAATTTTGACCTGTTTCATGTTAAGTACATTTTACAGCATGACCTATGTGCCTGTGAAACATATATACATGAAATATATGAAATGGAAGCATCATGAAACATTGCTTATGCTTCCTTTGCAATAAGTCCTGTTTTCTTCTATCCTATTCCAAATTAAAAAAATTTTTTTTAGTTGTAGATGGACACAACACACACACACACACACACACACACACACATATGTGTGTGTGTGTGTGTGTGTGTGTGTTGTGTCCATCTACAACTATATATATATATATATATATATAAGTTGTATTTGGACACAATACCTTTATTTCATTTATTTTTATGTGGTGCTGAGGATCGAACCCAATGCCTCATACATGGTAGGTGAGCGCTCTACCACTAAGCCAGAACTCCAGCCCCATTCTAATTTTTCTCTTTTTTTTTTCAGTATTGAGGATTGAATCTAGGGGTACTCTACCACTGAGCTGCATTCCAAGCCCTTTTCATTTTCTTTTGAGATGGAGTCTGTTAAATTGCCCAGTCTTGGATTTTTGATCCTCCTGTCTCAGCCACCTGAGTAGCTGGGATTATAGTTATGTACCACCCCACCTGGCTCTGTTCTATTTAAATCTGTTCATTTTAATGGAAATAAAGTTAATATTGATTCAATAAATTGGTTCCACAACCTGTTTTAAAAAACCTTGCTCAGCCAAACTCAACTAATAACAATGGGAAGGCAGGAGGACTGTCTTTCCCTTCAGAGCCTACTTATCAGCAACAGTCATGATGAAGTCTGATGGCATAGGAGGGCAAGGTATGGCAGTCTAGCCTTTCTGTCCTCCAATGGGGGAGGTTTCGGCCTGTTGACTCAGCTTTTCTCCTCAGAGCTCCATGAACCTGCCTCCTGACAAGGCCCGGCTCCTGCGGCAGTATGACAATGAGAAGAAATGGGATCTGATCTGTGACCAGGTACAGGTTGGGAACAGCAGGGAGGTGGGGAGTTGCACAGGGCTGGACAAGGCGATAGGTAGCAAGGTCAAAGGCATCATCTGCAGGACTGACCAGGGCTTGGCCTTAGTCTATGCTGATTTTCTGTTTTAAGGAGACACAGCTGATAGGCCAGTCTCCCACACAGGGCTCTCCTAATTTCTCCCAATGGACAGAGGTGTCAAAGTATGTAGGGCTAGCTATGGAGCAGGTTGTTAGTTTTACCAGCAGAGCCTGTTTCTGCCTTTCCCAAGGGTCAGGGTTCTGCCTGGTAGGGTATCCCAGAAGACGCTTTATCTCCCTCTGCTCCAGACTTTACAAATAGCAGGGAGTATCTCAGTATATACAGACCTCTAGGAATGAGGCACCTCAGTCCTCGAGTGTTCTGTTCCCAAATCTGAAAATAGTCGAGGACTGCAGCTGTCTCTATATGAATAGTGTTTAGAGCTGGAAGAAAAGAGAGATCATTGTTTTGCTCAGAACCAAGGTTTTCTAACATCTACCACTTGACTCTTTACCCTGAACATATTTAAGGTCCCAAGTCTTTGAACTCAGCCTAACTGCAAGGCTGAGAGAGCTGACTTCTTTATCTCTTGGTTTATATCAAAGTAACTGGCACAGAGTGTGGGCAGTGTGTTTACCTGGCACCTTGCCATGGAGTTTTCTCACCAACAAATTTATTATTTCTTTTCAAGTTCTGAACAAAATCATAATTACTAATGTTTTTTGAATGCTGATTGTGTTATCACATTCTCTACACATATTAAACGGTCTCATTGCATTCTCACAAAAACATGTTAAGGAAGGCACTAGTTGCATTTTATAGATAAAGAATCCAAGGGTTTATAACCTGCCTAATGCTAGGAAGTGGTGGAGGCAGGACTGGGCTAGAGCAAGCAGTTGTCAAGTCTTTGCTACCTATTCTCTTCCACTGCCTCTCAAGTCATGCTGCTTGACCTGAGCTAGAATTATGATACAGATGCCCCAGTTCAAGCTCCTCCTCTTCCTCCTTCAATGAGTCTGGTTTCCTTGCTTTCTGCATTTAAGAAGAGTTGGTTAGCACCTGCTTGGGTTTGGGAGCACAACAGCTCTTAATACTGAGATTCTCTAATTGCTGATCTCTCAATCTTTTTCTTTTTTTGTGGGAGCTACTGGGGTGCTTTACCACTGAGCTTCATCCCTAGTCCTTTTTTTTAAAAGTATTTTTAAAATTGTAGGTAGACACAATACCTTTATTTTTTATTTATTCATATGTGGTGCTGAGGATTGAACCCAGCACCTCACACACACTAGGCAGGCATTCTGCCACTGAGCCACAACCCTAGTCCCCATCCCCAGTCCTTTTTATTTTAAGACAGGGTCTCATTAAGTTGCTAAGGGTCTTACTAAGTTGCTGAGGCTGGCCTTGACCTTGAAATCCTCCTGCTTCAGCCTCCTGGATCTCTGGGATTACAGGCGTGCACACACACACACACACACACACACACACACACACACACACATGCATGCTCAAGATCATGTGATTATTTCAGCTTTCTCAGATTTTTCTTTCCTTTTTTTCCCCGTTTCATTTGTTTTTAAGAATGCTTTTCTAACATTACATCATTCACCTGGACCCCTTCTGGCCTTCTACCCCAAGTTCATTTATCTCAGTTGGGGAGTTCCTTTACAAACCAGAATGCTAAATTGTTTTCTGAATTTCCTATTGGGTCAAATGAGCTGGTTGAGTCAAAGTAGGGAGGGCATAGTTCTGTGCCCTGTGTAGAGGGGATTGAGAAGTGATCTTGCTGAGGAACAACCTTCAGCATTTGAGGTTGTTTTGGATCACTGGGGCCCGGGGCCTGGGCAAGTAGTAAAAAGTGCATTTGTAGCCCCGAACTGTTGCAAAACCAATCCAGTCCCAACTGCAGAGTTTGGAGTTGTGAAAGCCGAGTTTTGCAAGGCCAAGCTCTTCTCCCCTTGGCCTACCTAATGTCACCCGTGAGTTGGCCAGGCAGAGAACAGCACTTCTCAGCTGTATCTTTATTTTGTGTATTATTCCCAGTTCTGAAACCCCACATCTTTTTAGCAAGTAACAGACTAAAGAAGATTGCAACAGGTGTGATAAGGCAAAGAACCCCAACCATGATATAGGCAATGCTAAGGACAGGTGCCAACTGGGAGACTGAGTCTCCCGAGGTTGAGCATTGTAGGCGCTCTCCTTCCTTAGTTATCTTGTTTTATCCTGTGATTCTGTGCATGCACATAATTACACATATGTACATTTTTCTTATAGGAACGATTCCAGGTGAAAAATCCTCCCCATACTTATATCCAGAAACTCCAGAGCTTCTTGGACCCCAGTGTAACTCGGAAGGTGAAGTATTTAGACAGTGGGGCCCTGTCTTGTTGCCCTTCATAGCTCTGTGGGATTTGGACTCAAACCCTTTGCCATGGGGGTTAGGACATCTTCTGAGCAATGGGAGGTGCATTTCTGGGCTCTGAGGTTAGGGGCCTGGACTAGCTGCCCAGTACTGGAGGGGAGGTCTATAATTGGACCCTTGTATCCCCTCCATTTCCTTTTCTGTCCTTTTTCTTGTACTGTAAGTTGGATGGGGGGACTTTAGTGACAGAAGATTCCATGTTTACAGAAGTTCAGGAGGAGAGTGCAAGAGTCGACCAAAGTACTAAGGGAACTAGAGATTTCACTTCGTACCAACCACATTGGGTAAGTCAGATTTGGCCATCCCGGCCTTTCCACCTGGTCCCAGGTGTTGCCTACCACACTGGGAATGATTTGCTTATTTATTTTCCTGCCAAAGGACAAAGTAGCCTCTTGAATGGTTCTTTGCTCCCCAGAGCATTACACTGTGCCTTTCTGGCTTTTCTTCCCTTCAGCTCTGCCAGCAGCTGATTGGATGCTTCTGGCAAGCATGGGGCCTCTCCTGGGTCCTCAGTCTGTGGCTTTGAGTGGAAGATATTCCCACAACAGCTGAGAATGGAGTCTGCCTGTGGCCTGGTGCTGGGCCAAGGAGGGCCCAGAGAAGTCTGAGGGTGGGGGAAACATACTCCAGTGGATGTAAGACCTAGTTCTTATTCAGCAACTCTTTGCACTTTTTAGCACCCAGAAGGTTATTTGCTTAGTTGGTTGAAAACAGTCTTAGTTCGTGAGGAGAGGAAGCTTCCTTAAAGCACCAGGAAAGAAGATGTACAGTAGTGCAGCCAGGAGTTGAATGTTTCCTGTATTCACAGAACCTGTGTTGCCAACCCATTGAGGGGGCCCTCAGGATCTGTGTGAGTCTTTCTTTGCAGCCTCTGAGTCAGGTAACCAGAACTGCTGAACAAGCAGAGGGCTAATTCAGGGAGGTACAGTAAAAGAGGGAAATGCCTCAGTTTTATGAAACTGTCACCAGCAAGGGTATATGCAGCAAAAAGCAGAAAATGTGTGTGTACATGCAGAGAGGATAGTTAGGGACACCTTATATAGAACTGGAAGCAGGGGTTCTCTCCTGATAGAGGGGTCTTGCATGAATGGTGAGTGAGAAGTGGAGCTTAGGGTAGGATGGGATAGCTAGGCATGTGCCAGCCCCAGGTCCCTGAGCTTCCCGAGAATGGGGTGGAAAGAGCCAAATAACATCATCGGCCTTTCCTCTCCTGTCATAGCAGCAGCCTGCTTGTCCACCATGAGGCCAAGCCTGCCTGGGGCTCTTCAGCAGGAGGGGACACCTGTTTGTAGCTAGCTGCAGCAGTATACTCAAAAGGAAGCGGCACAGGAGAGAACAGGAAAGGGATGGTTCCTGGCCTTGGAAACTGTGCTGTGGGGGCCAAAATATGGCTTCCATACCTCATCTGTGAGCCTGACATGCAAAGCCAAGCCACTGCAAAAAGGTGTGGCCAAGCCTTCACCTATGGTGAATTCTATCACAAAAGGAGCACTAGCTGGGCTCTTTAGTTAACCTGTATATGAGGATGAGAGTGACATGGGCAATGTACCACCAGCCACCTACATTACTTGAATAGGCCTTCTCTCCCTTGTGGGCTCTGTTGTTTTCCTTAAATCCTGTTGAACAGTCAGGGAAAAGATAGGGTTCTACTCCTTTTGGAAGAAGGCCAGAGAACAATGTATGACAGTCTCCTCTGTCTTCCTCCTTTACCTGGTGCCTGCCCTCTGGCATCTGGCCAAGGACTAGGGCCAGAGCAGCCTGGTTCCTAGGCCCTAGGCCACTTGGCAGTTAGCATACAAGTTAGAGATCTAAACCTGGTCCTTGGTTCCCAGAGAATAGCTTAGTGCTTACATTTTAGGAGCCCTGAATCTGACCTGAGGCTTCTCTAGGTAGTTATGTAGGAGAGCCAGGATCCTTCCTGGCAGGAAGTTTGTCAGGCTGGCTTGTGGGGGCTACAAGGTAAGAGGGGGCCAGGCAAGGTAAGGAAGGGAGAGTTCTGCTTTGGCCTCAGCCTGATCTGGTTGGGGCTTGCAGAAGCATGTATGCAGTCCTGCAGATGGGAACTCAGTCTTTGGAGTTGGGGACAGCTCTGAAGTGGGATTCCAGAGCCCCATCACCTCCTCCTTCCTCTCTGGTTTGTATTGGTTTCTTTGCCTTGCCTAACTGCCCTTTAACCTCTTCTCAAAGTGTCAAGATCCCTAAAATAGCAGTGTAGACTCAGACAGGAAATGAGAAGGGGGTGGGGAGCTGGAGAGCAGACAGACAGGAAATGGGAGGCCTGTAGGCCCCCAGAGAGGAAGCTAACTTCAGGCAGCTCCGGTGTCAGTCAGCTTCAGCCAGAGACTGCTGCCAAATCTCAGCCAGCACTGGTGTTCTAGCCCCAGCCTCTCTCCAGACCTTGGGGTGTGGCAGGCCAAGCTGGTGTTCCAGCTGTGGGGAAAAAACAGACCTTCAGGGGGTGGGGAAGTTGGGTGCAACTGGCTTATATAGATCCCCTAGACATTCCAAGAGAATAGAGCACTTAGGAGAGCAAGGTTTCATCTGAGGGTTTTATGTCTTTGCAGTAGAATGAACCTATCTTATAACAGTCACATTCAGAATCACTCTTAACTTTCTTCCCAGAGATATCTCAGCCCCAAAGGAGCAAAGGCAGAAGGGCAAAAATGCCATAGGACATTGTCCTTTAGGTGCCCTGTTGTGTACCTGCTTGCCTCCCTGGCTGAGGGGTCCACTTTTTCAGTCAGGCTCCAAGTAGTCATGGTATTCTGGAGTACCTCCAGTTCCTGATCATTTCCTCAGGCATTTCTAGTTACACCAGGCTCACTGTCTAAACACACAAACCCCTATCCCTTTGCTTACTGCTTCCCAAAATTGCTATCCTTGAACTCAGAGCCATTTGGCCCAGTGAGACTCTGTTCCAGGGTACTTACTGGCCCTTCCTGCCTGTGTCTTGACTGAGACATCAGCCAAGCTGGGGACTTTCTGGCTCTGTCAAACACAGCTCTACACATGGGCTTGTGGTAGCTGCTCTGGATGCCTCCCCAATTCTTCCAACAAATACTGAGCAAGGACAGTGTGCCTAGCCTTATGTTAAGCCTAAAAGATACAGAGGATTATTGAGTCAGGGTTCCAGGCTGGTAACATGACCACAAATGGGTTTGTCAAGGGTTTTGGTCTTCAGAATTTTCCCAGCCTGGTGCTAGGTTCTGGGAGAACTGAGGAGGGGGTGTTGTTGAGTCAGAGGCCAATCATCCTCTACTCACTTTAGCAGATGCCTTTTACTCTGTTTCCTGTATTTGCAGGTGGGTCCGGGAGTTTCTGAATGATGAAAACAAAGGCCTGGATGTGCTGGTGGATTACCTGTCCTTTGCCCAGTGTTCTGTCATGTAAGTACCACTCCAAGGCTAAGGGTGGGGACCCATTGGGGAAGACACAGTCCTGTTCTATTGAGAAGAAGAAGGGTGAGATTCCAACAGAGAAGATGGAAATGGGACTCCCAGGACAGGAGGAAGTAGCCCAGAAGTGGTATGGAAGCGGACAGGCAAACCAAGGGCATGTCTTGGGAACAGGGAAGATTGGCCTATTGGCTGGAGTAAATATGTTTTGGGGACTGTAGTGATATGGAAAGGGAATTTGGAATCAACCCAAAGGATCCAAAGCCAGGTTGTAGGCAATCCAGGAAATGTCCTGGCTTGTGGAAGAGATACTCTGGGAAGATCCATCCATCTCTGCAGAATTAAGTCTTCATAAAGCCACTCTAGGCCCAGTTGTGAATGGGTTACTTCAGGTCATTATTGAACCCAGGAGCAGTGAGCATTACTTTTGATCTGGACAGATGGATGAAGCATTTGGTAACCTTTTTAAGGCAGCCTGGGGACTTGGATGTGGCCACAGGAAACAGTGTGGTATAGTGCAAAGAATGAGGGCTTTCAAATCATACGAAGCCAGGTTTGGCCCTCAGTTGTGTCATGTACTATCTGTGTAACTTCAAGCACGTTTGTCCTCTTCTATGAAAGACATCCATGTTTCAGAGTTGTAAGGATTAGATGGTAATATGTGTAAAACACTTAGTAGTATTTGGAACATATTAGTTCTACATTGTAGTAGCAGCTTTGTTATTAAATGTTATTCACATCAGTATGCCTTACCATAATTATCTGAATATGGAAAGAGGAGTGATACTGATAATAAATGAGATGGCCAGCACATTCAGAGTTATACCCTAGACAAGTCAGCCCCATAGAGAATGATCATCCTGGTTTGCTAATGACTTTCTGCAGTTTACCTAGCACTGAAAGTCCCATGTCATGGGCTATGGTGACCCCTACCTAGACTTTTACTTTTCTACTGTCTCTGTTCCCCTAGCCATTCTCTTTTGTCCAGCAGGTCTTCAGTGTCATGATCTTAGGGATACAAACTAAGGTGCCTCACCTGGGTTTGGTCTCCATGTCACCAAAAATAGTCCACTCCTCATCTCCATCCCTGCTGAAACCATACCTCATGATCCTTCTATCTCTTTAAATGTGTTTTTTATTTTTTTGATATTTTTTAGTTGTAGATGAACACAATACCTTTATTTATTTATTTTTATGTGGTGCTGAGGATCAAACCCAACGCCTCACGCATGTGTGGCAAGTGCTCCACCACTGAGCTACGACCCCAGCCCTTTTTTTTTTTTTTTTTTTTTTTGGGTACTGGCAATTAAACCCAGAAGCACCACTTAGGAGCCACATCCCAAGGACTCCCACCCACACGTATTTTTTTTGTGGTTGTTGTTTTTTCTGGAGACATAGTGTCTCACTAAGTTGCTTAGGGCCTCACTCAGTTGCTGAGACTGGCCTTGAATTTGTAATCTTCCCGCCTCAGCCTCCCAAGTCTCTGGGATTATAGGCATGTGCCACTGTGCCTGGCTTCTAAATGTTCTTTTTATAGAAAGAAATGAAAAATATTTGCTAAAGTGAATTTTTAAAATTCAGAACCTTTATAGTAAAAAGATGTAGATCATTTTTCCAAATAAGCCTAGCTTATTTGGAAAGCAAACAAATCCCAGCTGCTTTAAACCAAGAGCACACTGAAAACTTAGTACTGTATTAAGTGTCCATGGAAATACCTTTGATTCTTAAAAAGACTCAGGGAAGTGAGAGAATGTATTTTGGGAAGGGATGAGGCCAGATAGAATCTGAGTAAGGCATTTACTGTAAACCATTAAGCTCTCTCTCTATCAAGGAGGTTCCTCTGAGGTCTACTGAATGGCCCCCCATTAATTACTTCCTGATTCAGGACTCTGATTCTCACTCTACCTCATTTGGGACATTTGGGCATCTATAGATAATGGCCCCCCATTAATTACTTCCTGATTCAGGACTCTTGATTCTCACTCGACCTCATTTGGGACATTTGGGCATCTATAGATATCATTTGTTCTACAAAGCCCCAGCCTCTGTACCTTTGACCTGGGGCTGTGTGTGTGTGTGGAATGGAATGCTCTGTGGGGGAAGAGCCTGTAAGAGATGTTCCTTAATCCTTCATGACCTACAGGGGAAGAGGGAAGTAAGAATGTGTAGGACTGCTTCTCAAAGCATGTACCTGGATGAGCATGTGTGAACGAAGACCCTGTGGGTCATTGAGTTCAGCTGTCCTGTTTGCCCTGGCTACACTCACAAACTGGTGATGTTGGGAGACATGTGATCCCAGAAGTAGGAAGTGACAAACTGTCCCAGCTGCTGTAGAGGCTAGACTGTAGATCCTTAGACCATAATCTCAACCTGCATATTTCTTCCCCCAGGAAGCTAAAGCTCAAGAAGCCTCTATATCAGAGAAACCTAGAAGCCTCAAGTAGCCAACCTTAGAAAACCTGGTCATTAAAACTAGTGTAGGCACCAAGTTCAGCCAGAGGTAGTTGTGCTCCATTTGTGTACAGTGTGTCAAAATGCATTCTACTGTCATGTATAACTAATTAGAACAAAATAAAAAAATTTAAAAAAAAAACAATATAGTGTGGGGGCTGGGATGTAGCTCAGCAGTGGAGTGCTTGCCTAGCACTTAAGGCCCTGGGTGGGTTTCATTACCAGCACCTTGGTATGGAGAGAGGAGAAGCCAGCCAGAGCTAGGTTAGGGTAGTGGTGTTCCTTTTAAGCAGAAAAGACTGTGCCATTCTGGGTTTGGTGGGACCTCCTTTCCTATCCATTCAGAGCTACTCAATGCAGAATAAATTGGGTATTGCCATTGACCAACTAGCAAGACCACAGTTGGCACATTCCCTACCCTCCTTCTGGAGTGAGATTCTCCATGTGGAGCCATAGCTGCTTTGAGATGTCCCATCTAAGGCTGGGAGTGCAAAAAGATAGCAGCCCCCACAGTCCTTGGGCCATGGGGATACCATTCCTCCTGGAGTTGCCTGGCCAGTGGGGAACAGAGGGACTGGTCTCTCAGCATCCCATCTCCTCAGATCCCTCTTCTGGAGCTGCCTGTGCCTATTCTGCCCTGTCCTGTGTTGGTGGCTCTCATGACCAGGACCAGGATTGGGTCTCTGCTTCCCAATTTCGCTTTCTCTTCTTGCTACCCTTGCCTGAAGAGTCGGGGACAGGCTCACTGGGGGGCTTGGCACAGAATTTCTCCGTGTATGTGCCTGTGTGTGCGCATGTATGTCCTTTCATGCTCCAGGTTTGACTTTGAGGGTCTGGAGAGTGGTGATGATGGTGCATTTGACAAACTCCGGTCCTGGAGCAGGTCAATCGAAGACCTGCAACCGCCCAGCGCCCTGTCGGCCCCCTTCACCAACAGCCTCGCTCGCTCTGCGCGCCAGTCTGTGCTCCGGTATGTGTGCGCTCGCTCTTCCCGCCTGCCTCCCACCCCAGCCCCAGTCCAGGTCTCAGTAACCGCGGTGAGTGCTCATGCTCCTCCCTTCACTCTTGCTTCCAGGCTCAGCTCTCTTGCCCTCTGCCTGCCAGTCTGTCTCTGGTCTGTCCTCTCTGTCTCCTTGACTCTGCCCAGCGGTCTGTCCTGGGTAAGTACATGGTCCTTAGCTGTGCCACCCACCTGGGGTTCCAGCTCTTCCCCTTCTTCATTCCTCACTCTCTTGGCTATTCCTCCCCAGCCTCTTGGGCAGGGCCTGGGCTTCGGTGGCTGATCTAGCTCTTGTACTCATGTATTTTCCTCTAGCTCTCATTCTGCCCATCAGCTGCTGGGAGAGGAGACCAGCTCCCATTCACCTCCCTGCCTCTCACCTTCCCTTCTTCCTTCAGGCCTTATCTCTCAAAGGCTGCTACATGTTCCTTTGTCTATGATGTCCTAAGAGCCATTCTGCCTGAAGGCAGACAGATGTACTGGATGACTTCTCAGAACTCCTATCCCAGGAGGTTGTCCTTTGGGCCCTGTAGCCTTTTCCTTGGCCTCTGTCTTGTGGTCATTCTTCTCTCCTACTCTCCTATTTTGAATTTTTTGTCCATCAAACAATGCTAATCATTCTAATAAATGCAGAAGCAAATTCCATTCCTGCTTCCTCTTTTTTTTTTTTTTTTTAACAAAACATTATTGAGGCAGTGGAGGGGTGATGCAGAGGCAGAAATAGCCCCCTGGCCTTTCTAAAGCCTTTGGGGTTCTGTTCTGCCTTTTGGGGTCATAGAAGTGGAATAAGAACCAAGATGCTCCTGCCCCACTAAATGTGAAGAACAGACAGCAACTGAAATTTGGGGGCGGGGGAAGGATCTCTTTGGATTCAACTCAAGGAGTAGGAAGGCCTACACAACTTCTGAGTATATTTTTGAGGATCTCTGGGATTAGCATGATATGAACACTGATTATGGAACTGGGATGTTGGGAAGTTGCTGGCAAAGTTCTGTTCTGGGAGGTGAACACAAGCTGACAATCTGCCTTCTGCACCCTTCTCGTGACTGATGGTACCAAGTCCTCCTATTTCTGCTGCTAAGGAGCAGCCTGGTGTTTGGGTGATGGTGAGCACTCTTTGACCTTTCATCAGCAGCCTTAAACCCCACCTGACAGCCTGGCCTTTTCCCCAGGTACAGCACTCTGCCTGGCCGCAGGGCCTTGAAGAACTCCCGCCTGGTAAGCCAAAAAGATGACGTCCACGTCTGTATCCTTTGTCTCAGAGCCATCATGAATTATCAGGTAAGGGGCAGCACTAGCCATGGGTGCTCTACCTCTTCTGCCTCATCTGGTGAACCAGGAGAGCTAACAGGGCACCAGCTTATGAAAGACAGGTTTGCTAGTGGCCTATGGCCAAGGAGATCTGCTGGGTTCTCCCTTCCCCATCAAGGTCCTTTCCATCTTTTTCCTTTGCAGTATGGCTTCAACTTGGTCATGTCCCATCCCCATGCTGTCAATGAGATTGCACTTAGCCTCAACAACAAGAATCCAAGGTAGGTTCTTGCCTTCCCCACTCTTCTCAGGGCTCTAGAGGTCTGGCCTCTACTTGTCCCTGACCAGTCTGCCTATGTCGGAACCTTGATTTGGGCCTCTCTCCTCTGTTGGGGAAGTGTCCTGGCTGCACAGCTGGTCTGCACAGCTGTGATCCTGGGAACAAACCTTCCTTACCCATCTTCTTCTTCTTTTTTTTTTTTTTTTTGATACTGAGGATTGAACTTGGGGTATTTAACCACTGAATCACATTCACAGTTCTTTTTATTTTTGAGACAGGGTCTCACTAAGTTGCTGAGGCTGGACTTGAACTTGCAATCCTCCTGTTTCAGCTTCCTGAGTTGTTGGGATTATAGGCATACACAACCACACTCAGCTTACCCATCTCCTTCCAAAACCCATCACCTCTTTTGCTGCCAAGGCTGTCTCAGTCCTCCAGAAGGACTCCCCTAGTCAAGAGCATAAGTTGTGTGGTGGTCAGGATGGGGAGATAAGAGAATTAATCTTCCTTCTTCACTCCTTAGGACCAAAGCCTTGGTCTTGGAGCTCTTAGCAGCTGTGTGTTTGGTGCGAGGAGGTCACGAAATCATCCTGGCTGCCTTTGACAATTTCAAAGAGGTCAGTCTCCTGCTTGCATCTGTGTGGAGAAGGTGGGGAACCTGGTATTTATTTAAAGTACCATTTCCTGGGATTTCTAGTGATTTTAATGCTTGAGTGTTTGACTAAGCAGCCTGCTCCCCAGATTAGGAACAGCACAGATTAGGAACAGTGGGCTATAGTGTAATGGTCCTAACCTGGCTTTATCAATTCACCTTGTTAACACAGCTAGCTCCCTATGCCCCACTCCAGACCACTGGAGACTGGGTATCTGTAGTTTATGAGAACTGCCAGGCAATTCTGCTGTAGTGAACCAAAGCAGGTATGTTTATTAGGGGAGGAAAGGGATGTCTCTCAGATAGTTGTCTACTGTTAGTGAGGGGAGAGAGCTTCTATGTGGAATGTCCTAAGCCTCTGGGCCTGGTTCTGAAACCCCAATCTGCTTGAACGTAGGATTCCTCGACATTCAGCCATAGCTGTGGTCCCACCCCTTCCTCCTCTCTGGACCTCTTCCCTAACATCCATTGTTTAAGTCAGGAAATAGCTCTTCCTCCTCGAAGCCCAGGGACTCACAGGAGCCTCTGGACCCCCACCGGCAGAGGACTTTCCTGCACACTGGCTCCTCCTTTGCATTCCCCTGGGACCTCGGCCTCTTGCTTCAGCCATGTCCTGATTCCCTTTCTCCTTCTGTCAGTAACTTGGCAGCATCAGACTTCTGTGTTTCTTGTTGGCATAGCCCCAGAGGCACTTAAAGTCCAGCCTAAGGGCACAGGCTTTACTGGTTTCCCTTAGTGAGTTGGTGAGAGACCAGAGACCCAGGGCCAGATTCCAGGTCCCAGGTTTTCTTCTACAGTATCCAGAATGGCTCATTTCCTAGATTAGCTGTGGTTAAACTTGGTCTGAACCAATGCCTTTGCCATGATGTTTCTGGTAGCCTCAGCTCAGGGGCTTAGTTTCTGCATGGGGCAGATCTTTTCCCTGAGAAAGTTTGCTCATCCAGGTGTGCAAGGAGCTGCACCGCTTTGAGAAGCTGATGGAGTATTTCCGTAATGAGGACAGCAACATTGACTTCATGGTGAGGAACAGCCCAGGGCAGGTGCATGCCAAGCAGGGCCATGTGCTCCTTAGGGAAAGGGACCATGGTGACATTGTATTTTGATATTTTTATTCTTCACTAGGTGGCCTGCATGCAGTTCATCAACATTGTGGTACACTCAGTGGAGGATATGAACTTCCGGGTCCACCTACAGTATGAGTTTACAAAGCTGGGACTGGAGGAGTTCCTTCAGGTGAGCTGGCCAGGTGCTTTGGTATAAAGATCCAGCTTAGAAACATCAGTGTTTCTTTTATAAAAACTTAGTCCTTGATACCTTTGGAACTTGCCTGTTTTCTCTGGTCTGGGTTTTAGGACATCCTATAGAGGTCTCTCTAACCAGGCAGCTCTATGAGGGCCAGATACTGACACAGCAAGTAGCAGGAAATCCCTGCATTATAGGCTGTGAGAGGGTGACAAAGACCCAAGAGTTTTTAGGTGGTTCCCCAACTACTATTTCTGATTTCTCCCCAGAAGTCAAGGCATACGGAAAGTGAGAAGTTGCAGGTGCAGATTCAGGCATACCTCGACAATGTGTTTGATGTAGGGGGTTTGTTGGAAGATGCTGAGACCAAGAATGTAGCCCTGGAGAAGGTGGAAGAACTAGAAGAGCATGTGTCTCACGTAGGTGGCCTCCTTTGTCTGCCATAACCTTTGTTGAGTGTCAGGGAGGATGGTGATGACTGAGTTTCAAAATCCTGTGTTTACCCACTTGCCTCCAGATTGAGCCTCAGGAAGACTTTAGAATCCACTGAGGCTCTCTAGAATATGCTATGGTATGAGTCACATGCATTCAGACTGTTGCCATTTGCCTTGTTATGTGTTTCTGTTTCATGTGGGGTCAGACCTTGGGCCCTCGGGAGGTGATGTAAAGAAGCCACCTAACCAAGCTACGTTTGGGGACCTATGTGGTGGGAATGTTGGGCCCTGGTCTTGACTGGGCATTAGTTCATACAGAGTGCCTAGGCTTTAGGGCCAGCCCCGAACCTGCCCTTCCCAACCTACAGCTCACAGAGAAGCTTCTGGACCTGGAGAATGAGAACATGATGCGGGTGGCAGAGCTAGAGAAGCAGCTGCTTCAGCGAGAAAAAGAGCTGGAGAGCATCAAGGTACCAAAAAATCTGGGGAAGGAAAGCCATGGCCACCCCTGGGCTCCAGTGCTTTGGGACCTTGCTCTTCTGAGTTATGTCAAGAAAAGATCTTGATTTACCCTTGAATTACACATATGGTGGTGTTCTGATGATTTCACTCTATTTTTTAGTTTGGGAGGGAAGCTGAAACCAAAGTGGGCAAGACACAAGACATACTGGAAAGGGTAGAGGCAGACTGTGCACCTGCAGGTACCCCTGGGGTCCCTTCCAGTCTCCTCCCAACCCATCTTGCTGCTTTTTCCTCCACGTGCTTCTCAACCCTGCTTACAGATCAGGGTTGGAGTAGCTGTTTTTTAGGCCATCCACAAAGTATCCTAAATTAGGAATGCAGAGGCTTCTTATATTTCATTCTCTGCTTTATCCTTCCCCAACTTTTTTGTTAGTTATACAGTTATGCCCCACTGGATGTGGTGGTGCACACCTGTAATCCCAGCAGCTCAGGAGGCTGAGGCAAGAGGATCGCAAATTCAAAGCTAGCCTCAACAATTTCGAGAGGCCCTAAGTAACTTAGCAAGACCCTGTCTCAAAAAAAAATAAAAATAGGGCTGGGAATGTGCTCAGTGGTTAGATTCAATCCTGGTATCAAAATAATAATAATGATGTTGTCATCCTGCCCCAACCTTTTTCTTCCCAAGGAATATGATCATGAGCTGAGCCTCTGTTAAGTACCAAATTAGGAATATGGAGGGTTCAGAGATGGCTAAGACAAAGCCTGTCCATGAGGCTTCCAACTAAGCAATTACACAGGGCCAAATTTAAATAAAAGCAATAAAGAAGGGCTGAGGTTGTGGCTCAGTGGTAAAGCACTAGCCTGTGTGTGTAAGGCACTGGGTTCAATCCTCAGCACGCATAAATAAATAAATAAATAATCAAACAAACAAATAAATAAATAAATAATGGAATTTTGTCCATGTACAACTAAAAAAAAAATTTGAAAATTAAAAAAAAAAAGGCAATAAAGAGACCCAAGGGGGCTGGGGGTTGTGATTCAGTGGCAGAGCGTTTACCTAGCATGTGTGAGGCACTGGGTTCGAATTTCAGCACGACATATAAATAAATGAATAAAATAAAGGTCTATCAACTTCTAAAAAAAAAAAAAGAGAGACCCCAAGGGCTATGGAGAAAGCAGCTATATCAGACTGGTAGTAGCTAAGGAGAATTTCACAGTAGCATCCTTTATCCTGGGTCCTGAAGGATTGGTGCTGTGAGAACAGTCCGGAACAGAGAGAATGACATTTCATGGTGCTCACCTCCTTTGCTCTGCTGCACTCCAGCTTCCCTTACTCTCCCATCTAGAATTCTGCCACTGTAAGCACCTCACGAGACCCTTATTTGACTATCCTTTGGGAAGGAAATCTTTCTTACTCCCAGGAGTAATGACTGCTGTGCCTTTAGCCCATCCTTCCCTCAATGACACTCTCTGCCCAATAGGAGACATATGAGAACACAAGCCACCAGGTGCATACCCTGCGGAGGCTCATTAAGGAGAAGGAAGAAGCCTTCCAGCGCCGATGCCACATGGAGCCAAGTGCTCGTGGCTTGGAGCCCATGGGTGTTGAGGCCCTGACCAGAGCAGGCCCTGCAGAGCTGAGCGAGGGCATACCACCCTCAGACCTGGACCTGCTAGCTCCAGCCCCACCTGCCGAGGAGGCCCTTCCTTTGCCCCCACCACCGGCTCCTCCCTTGCCCCCGCCTCCTCCCCCTTTACCAGGTAAGTAAATAAGATCTCTAGGCCCAGCGGGGCAGCCACTTTGTGGGGCCAAAACCCTAGTCAGCAGTGTCTTCTTTAGCAGCCAGGAAATGGCATCATTTGAAGGATGGAAGGCTATCAAGTCAAAGTGAGAGAGAGAGAAAGGGTTGATGGGGAGCTACCATCTAAGGAAGCTTGGGTTACTGGTACAAGGGTGGGCCTGTTTCAAGAATCATCAAAATGCTGCTTCAAAGCAGCCAAGGAGAGACTGGAGAAACTGAGGCAGAGACTAGATTGAACCGCCTCTGACAGGACTCCTGGAAGTGACTTGAGCTGAACTCACATAGCCTCCTCTCCTAAAAGTCTGTAAGGACAGGACAGGTGGGCAGAGGAGAGGGCAGCCCAGGAAGTCTCATGACCCCTGGGTCACTGTGCCATTTCTTTTTCCCCTAGGCAAGTGTCCCCCAGCCCCACCTCTCCCTGGAGCTGCTCCCTCTGTGGTATTGACAGTGGGCCTGTCAGGTGAGTGCCTCTAGGACCTTGGACAGGGCTGGTGGAATCAGGGGAATGTGTCCTTGGCTCCATCCTCAATGATACTCCTTCCAAACTAGCCATTCGCATTAAGAAACCTATCAAGACCAAGTTCCGGTTGCCGGTCTTCAACTGGACAGCATTGAAACCCAATCAGATCAGTGGCACTGTCTTCAGTGAACTGGATGATGAGAAGATCTTGGAGGTGACAGGGTCTGGGGCCCAGAAGGGTGGGGCTGAAGACCAGGTTGCCAGACCTCCTGGACTTCTGTCTTCAGGCAGAGTGGGACCAGGGTCAGCTTCATGAGCCAGAGCTAGGCTCGTGCTGAGTGTACTGCCAGCAGATCGTTGCGTAGTATGAGGCTGCAGTATTTTCCCTTCTCATCTACTCTTGCCAGGACCTGGATCTGGACAAGTTTGAAGAATTGTTTAAGACGAAAGCTCAGGGCCCTGCCCTTGACCTCATCTGCTCCAAGAATAAGACAGCACAAAAAGCTGCCAGCAAGGTGACCCTGTTGGAAGCCAACCGTGCCAAGAACCTGGCCATCACCCTGCGCAAGGCTGGCCGCTCAGCTGAGGAGATTTGCAGGGCTATTCACACGTGAGGCTCCCACTGACCTGGCTCTGGTCCCCAACCAGTTGGCAACCCAGCTCTCCACCCAGGAACCTGGTTTTTCCTAAATTCCAGGGTTCCTGACAGAGTTCCTCCACCCCTCCATCATCCACTGTCCTGGCTAGAACTTATTGCATCCATGCTATGTGCCAGAAGCCATGTGAGGTGCTGGAGATGAACCTAGACCTTCACTCAGGGAGCTCCTAGTCTAGTGGGAAGTAACACCAAGTGACACCACCTAGAGGGCAGAAAGAGCAACATGACTGAACTTTGTGATCAGAGAGGGCTTCCCAGAAGAGGTGATACCTCAACTGACATCTAAAGGAAGTGCACACTTTAGTCCAGTTCAGGGCCCAGAGGGAGGAGCTTGGTACCCTGGGTACTAAAAATGGAATCTGGCTTTAATGTAGGAATGAGAATTTAGGAGGGACAGGGTAGAAAATTGGACAGAAGCCCTGCAGGCCCTGCTCAGGTGTTTGGACTTTATCATAGGTACAGAGGGCGGAAATTGATGGACTTACATTTATTGACTGATTGGCAGTACTGGAGTTTGAATTCAGGGCCTCAGCGCATGCTAGATAAATGCTCTACCACTGAGTTACATCCTGAGTCTCTCCACTCCCTTTTAAAATCTTATTTTGAGTGAGGATTTCACTAAGACCAGGCTGGACTTGAACTTGTGATCTTCTACATGTGTGCACCATTGTGCTAGTTTGAAGGGCTCTTAAACAGGAGTATGGAAGCTGGGCACACTGGCACACACCTGCAATCCTAGCAATTTAGCAGAGTGAGACAAGAGGATTGCAAGTTCAAAGCCAACCTCAGCAAATAAGACTCTCAGCAACTTAGCAAGACCCTTGTCTTAAAATTAATTTAAAAAGGACTGAGGATGCAGCTCAGTGGTAAAGTAACCCCTGGGTTCACTCCCCTGTAGCAAATAAAAAATAGGAACATGGAATGTTCCCAAGATTTTTGGTGCCACTGTGATGGTGCTCTGCTTTCTAGCTTCGTCTCATGCAGTCCTCACTCCCATGCCTCCTGGAGGAAAGACATATGCAAATGATCCTGTGATCCTCCCTCCTACACAGGTATGACCTACAGACATTACCTGTGGATTTTGTGGAATGCCTAATGCGCTTCCTGCCCACGGAGGCTGAAGTGAAGCTACTGCGGCAATACGAGCGTGAGCGGCAGCCTCTAGAGGAGCTAGCAGCTGAGGACCGCTTCATGTTGCTCTTCAGCAAGGTGGAGCGGCTGACTCAGCGAATGGCTGGCATGGCCTTTCTGGGCAACTTCCAGGACAACCTACAGATGCTCACACCGGTATAGCCCGCATCCAAATAGTTATCCTCTGCTGCTGCTGCTCCATCTCTTTCTATTGAGCACTTCCCCTGCCCTGCTTCTCCTCCTAGCTCTTCCCTGACTTTAACTCCACACCACTACCCCAGCCTGGAGTGACTCAAGTATTCATGTCATTTTCCAGCAACTCAATGCCATAATTGCAGCCTCTGCCTCCGTCAAGTCTTCACAGAAGCTGAAGCAGATGCTGGAGGTGGGAAGAGGGGAGAATGGGGTGTTGGCCCTGGGGGCTGTAGAGAGGGAGCCTTAGGGCATGACCTGACCTGCTTCCCACACATCTGCTGAACAGATCATACTTGCATTGGGAAACTACATGAATAGCAGCAAGCGAGGAGCTGTGTATGGCTTCAAGCTCCAGAGCCTAGATCTGGTAAGAAAGTGGTGGGTAGCATGGGCAGGGAGCCTGGGTACAGTGGTGATGGAGCCTGTTTTTAACTATCTGGCACTGCCTCTCCCTCCCTTCCAGCTACTGGACACTAAGTCCACTGACCGGAAGATGACTCTGCTGCATTTCATCGCCTTGACAGTGAAGGAGAAATACCCAGACCTAACTAACTTTTGGCATGAGCTGCACTTTGTGGAGAAGGCTGCAGCAGGTGAGGCGAGTTTGGCAGGGTAGGCCAGTCCTTATGTTCAGCCTAGGACAATCCCAGGAAGCTATGAGGAGAGGGAACTCTTGGTCCATTTATTTCTAGTTTTTTGTTAATTTTCTGACCACTTCAAAGCTTTCCGCTAGAGCCATGAGTGCAGGCCACCCCAGGGTGGGCCTTCCTCTCTAGGCATCAGGCCTGGCCTAGCCTTCCCAGTTAGGTGCAGTAGGAGCAGGAATAGGAAGGGGCGTTGACTCTTTCCTCCCAACTTCCTTAAGTTGGTTCAGAGGCATTTCTCTATGGTGCATGCAGTATTAGAAAAACCATGAAGCCCTCCACAGACATAAAGTAGCTGTTATTTGTGCCAGTTCATGGAAGCTAGACAAGAAGTCAGCTCCACTTTGGAGACCAGCAACAACTGTAGCTTGCCTCCCTTTGCTACCTTGTTCTCTGGAGTTGCTTTACCCGAGAGAGCCCAGCTCTGTTGTGTGCACTTCCTTCTTCATGTCCACACCTGGGTGAGAACCTTAGTGAGCTGTGCCAAGGGAGAGGGTGTTTGCTGTAGCTGGGCTGGGCAATGCATATCCCAGGCCATAGGTGGGCCTCAGCAAGGCCTCTGACTACTACAGTGTCCCTGGAGAATGTGCTGCTAGACGTAAAGGAGCTGGGCCGGGGCATGGAGCTGATTCGGCGAGAATGCAGCATTCATGACAATAGTGTCCTTCGGAGCTTCCTCAGCACCAATGAAGGCAAACTGGATAAGCTCCAGCGTGACGCCAAGACAGCAGAGGTGAGCAAGAGATGGAGTGGGCAGAAGCAACCCAGGCTATCTAGGTAAGCCTAGCTGGTTCTTTTACATAACACAAACAACAGGCCTTCTATGTCAGAGAGAGAAGGCTTTGGGGGTGGCAGACAGCCATCTCTGGAGACATGGACACTTGGGGCCCTCAAGGACCCCAAATTCTCTCCAGTTTACCTTGGCTTGAGCGGTTGATTTTCCTTCCTTTGACCCTGTGCTCTGCTTTTTGGGGCCTCCTGTTCCTGGGCTTCTTCCTGCCAGGCTGACCCCCTTCTGCCAATCCCTTTCCCCAGGAGGCCTACAATGCAGTTGTGCGCTACTTTGGAGAGAGTCCCAAGACCACACCTCCTTCTGTATTTTTTCCAGTATTTGTCCGATTCATTCGTTCTTACAAGGTAAGCTGAAGAGGGGTTTTTAAAGAGAGGTTTGACAGTGAGAAACCCCTCTTTTAAAAAGGATTGAGGGAGAGAGAGCTCGGGCTTCAAGTCTTGGCTTTTTCCAACTCCTCCTCTGGGTCCTGGGAAGGGAGCAATGGAAGCTGGCGAGAGGCCTCATAGCTGAACTGGTGTGGCAGGGTGGGGGCCCAGGTTCTTCCTGTCATTGTTTGGAGCAGGAAGTGCCCCTCCAGAGGGTGGCCACCTGGGGTTCACTGGTCCCACTGCCACCTACTCTCCACTCTCAGTGTCAGCTCCTCCCCTCCTAGCCCGTAAGCCTCACTGTCCACCTTGGTTCTCTGTAGGAAGCAGAACAAGAGAATGAAGCCCGCAAGAAGCAGGAGGAGGTAATGCGGGAGAAACAGCTGGCTCAGGAAGCCAAGAAGCTGGATGCCAAGGTGCGTGGGACCAAGAACTGGGGCAAAGAACTGGGGACTGAGGGGAAAGTAGAGCTAGAGAGAAGATGAGAAACTGCAACAGATACACCTGAGGCTAGAAGGATTGAGGCTAGAATCCAGAGGGATGAGGAGCTGGGCTTTGGGAAGGGGATTCCCAGTAGCACATAAGCCAGGAGCATCTTGGGACAGGAGCCAGCCCCTTGTCAGGTTATTGATGACTTCCTTCCCCTTTCAAAATGCTTGGCCATAGACCCCATCCCAGCGGAACAAATGGCAACAGCAGGAGCTAATTGCAGAGTTGAGGCGACGCCAGGCTAAGGAGCACCGACCAGTTTATGAGGGAAAAGATGGTACCATTGAGGACATCATCACAGGTGGGGTCCTTCTGCCCTCCTTTGGGGCCTGGTGTTGGATCCAGATCCCAGAGCCCAACCTATCCAGATCCACCCCCGCCCCACTGCCCACCAATGAGGCCTGACCACTGTGTCTCTCTCCTGGGCCAGTGTTGAAGAGTGTCCCTTTCACGGCTCGTACTGCCAAGCGGGGCTCACGCTTCTTCTGTGATGCAGCCCACCATGATGAGTCAAACTGTTAACCCCCAAGGCTGAGGCCCCTGACAGGTATTGGGCACCACAGCTGCCCCTTCTGCATGCCCACCTCCCTGGACTCCTGCTGGAGCCCACAGGCACTCCCTTGCATGCTCTGGAATCATTCCCTAGCTGCCTCTTAGTATGGGAACACATACTTCTTGCATGCCCCACGATGCCAGAAGCATGGCTTATCTTCTGCATTTGCCCACACAGAAGTAGACTCCCTCTCACTAATGCTGTCCTGGCTTCTACTAAGACCCAAGGGCCAGGTGTGGGAGCTGTGCCAGAGTAGGCAGGACCATAGGCTTATTGTTTTGATTGCTGACGCTAAGGTTACATTTCTGGGTCCAGGGCATCTTGGTCCTTCTCTTCTCTACAGTTCCCTCCTCATGAGAGCTCTGGTAGTAGGTGCTGCCCAGGGACAGTTAGATGCCCCCTCATGTCTGCTTCCTGACATTCGAAGGGTCTCTTCCCAGGTTCTGGCTCTGCTTAAGTCTACTTTGTTTCTGCCTAGTGGCCTCTAGTCTCCCCACCTGATTTTTTTCAAAGGACAGAGTCCCAGCATTTTCCCTAGCTGGTCTTAAAGCCTCGTTTCAGGTTCCTCCTTATCCTGCTGTGGGTGCTCCTGAAGATGCTGTCCTGCCTAGCTTCCTGCCTGTTGATAAGCTCCTTTGTCTTCCCTATAGGCCTCCAACGCCAACCCATTGTTGTTCGCCACCAAGCGCGGAATGCTGCACCACCCAGTGGCCCCCCTCGGGCTCCAGGCCCCCACTGAGACCCTCTTGGAGGCAGAAGCACTTCAATCCTCAGTCCTGCAAAGTTCCGCCAGTGGACCTGAAGCCAAGGGTCTGGCAGAAGGTTATGCTGCTCTCAGCTGTGCCACCCCAGCACTCGGGCTGGATCTTACCTATGCCATTGTGGGCACTAGGCCTATTACAGACCTGGAACTTCCCTAGTGCCTCCAGTACTGTACTTTGCCCCTGTGGTCTTCAATTTCATTCCTTAAAAGGTCATCAAGGGGTTAGCTCAAAGCTGGGAAAACCCATTTCCAGCTTTACCTTATACAGGGGGCACCTAAGCCCCTCTCCCCTGCTAGAGCCCAGTGAGAAGAGAGGGGAAAAGCTTAGTCTCCCTGCTTTTTTCCCCTTTCTTTTCACAGTTCCATGGTCAGCACTAGTCTAGCAGTATACAGGCGTCCTGGAACCCTGCCAATCTCAGATCATCTCTTATGAGGAGCAAGGAAGGCCCTTTTATGCTTGGACCCACCCAGCTGCACTCTCATGATAAGTGTAGAGGAGTGATGCCAGGCCTACTGTCCTTCTCCTTGGCCAATTAAAGTTACATGCTGTTCTTGCTGCAGTGGCCTGAAGAACAGGGTTGTCTACACCAAGACCTCTAGAGAAAGGGCATGCAAACAACCTCCTCACCTCCTTTTCTCAGCTAGGTGGTTTTTTGGTGGGGGGTAGGAAGCATGGTGGTCTCTGCAGACTATCTGCTCAGTTCCCTGCCAGTTTCGTCTCAGTCCCTGGAAGAGAATCAGGGGCCACCTCTTTTTGTACATGTACCATTTCCTTTCTCTCTTGTACATAAACTAGTCCTTCCTTCTCTTAACAAAAGCTTGAAGCACCAGGCTGTATACTCTTTCTGAGCTTGGGGGAGCCAGGATGGCTGCTGAATTAAAAAGTCTGGGGAAAGGAGCACAGAAGCCTGCCGGAAGGAGGCAGGGTAGTTTCTGACGACACAAAGGGAAGCAGGCCTGTGTGAGACACTAGTGCCCTCTGCTGGGCATGTGTATACCAATCCAGTTCCCAGCCTGCCCAAGTAGCACATGGAGAGGACAAAAGTCACCAGCCATGTTATAAATATTGTTATTTAAAAAACAAAAACAAAACACACATACGTCAGGTCCCTGGAGAAAGCAGTGGTGAAGCCCCTGGGCAGGCACTGATGCTAGAGGGTAAGAACTCAGCCCTATGCCACCCAGGCTGTGTCCACCAGCCTGTCTCTTCCCTGGAGACCCCATTGCTCATACTTGATCTACTGGTATCACCCGCCCCCCTTCAACATGGCCTGGGGCTGTGGGCAAGGACTGCACTAGTTGTCCGGGAAGTGGGGAACCCTTGAACACCAAGAGCAACCTTGATAGGTGCCAACAGTGGTATACAGAGGGTGGATTTACTTTAGGAAAAGTGGACACCGAACAGACGAAGGAGTCTGAGGCATACGGTAAGGGTGGTCAAGAAGCCACCACCTCAAGCAGGCCCGAGGCAGAGAGCAGCTTATCAGGTCACTGGTGGTCATCCAGCTGCTGTAGGAGTGTCCGCCGCCGCCTCTCTAGCTCCCCCTCACTCAGCTCGCTTTCTGACGTGTCCCAGCCTGTCTGTTGGAGCAGAGGCATGGCTCACCCAAGCCCCCTGGACAGAGTGCTGCCTGGCTGGGGCCGGGCCCCTGCCTCTGCCTCTCACCTTCTCCTTCTTGACTCCAAAGCCTGGGGAGCGATTAGGGAGCTCTGCCTGCCGAAGCTCCCTATCCTTGTCTTGTTCTTGTTCTTTCTCTTCACTCTCCTTGCCAGCTTTCTCCTCGGGGTCTGTCTCACTCTCAGGGCTGTTCTGTAAAAGTCCAGAGCCCAACTCCTCAGCTTCTGTGGACAGCTGGGAGGTAGGTGGAACAGATCCCACAAAATAGCAAGGTCTTAAGCAGAGTTTCTTCTCTACTCACCGACTTGTGTCTTCTCTTTTTAGTTTTCTTTTTTGGTTTCTTGGCTTTCCGAAGGCCATGATCTGGAAATAAAAAATTCCTACTAACACCCATAGGGAAAAAGGAGAGCTCGGTCTCTTCTCTGCCACAGCCCTCTCAGTTCATTCTTTGTAGACCTGGGCCTTGTGGTTTGAGAAAGGTTGAATCTAGTTTTCCTTCCTTCTCCTGGTTTCCTGTCTAGGCAGGAACAGGAAGTTCTTCCTATCCTCACAGGTCAGCCCTCCTAATCCACTCCACCCTCAAGGGTGCTAGAGCTTGCTGCTCTTAATCATCATCCACAGTTCTCCATCTTCCAGCATCTGCTTACCTGATCCAAGAAGAAGGTGGGAGGATGGGGAGCCCCGTCCTCCAAGGGCAACACCCCCACTTTCAACTGAATCAAGTGAGGATGAGGGATCAGAGCCAGACTCTGAGAGGTTTCGTCTCCTCCGCTTAGGGGGCCGGAGGGATGGTGGGGGCAGCTCCTCCTCTTCCGACTCGGAGCCCTGGGCACATAAACAGATATGGGTTAATGCAGAGGCTCTCTAGCCTCTAGAGTTCCTGTCTGTGAATTGGGGATAGAGAAGAGGATCCAGGATTCCAAAAAGAATCCTCAAATCTCCTTCCAATGGAGGTGACATAGGGAAAAACAAGAAGTGTCGAGTACCCCAAAACAATCCAGCCTCACCCCCACATCCCTCTACCTGCCAACTCACAGAGGGTGAGTGGGAACGCTTGTGATGGTGTTTCTTGCCCTTCCTGCCATGCTTTCGGCCTTTGGTGTGGAGGTGCTGGCATTCAGTCTGCTAGAAGCAGAGGGAAAAAGGTGAGGACTATGCCTCCCTGTCTTAGGCTAGGACCTTTTGCCTATCCCAGGTCTCCCTTAGGCTTCTACATCCTTAGCTGTCCAGGGAAAGGAGAGACGTAGGATAGGATGCGAGGCCACTGAGGTCTCTGAGGAACTGGCCTAGGGAATTCAAGCACTTACGACAGCTCCAAAGCCTGACTCACCTCCAGCACCTGCAGGAACTCCCGGAAGAGCCGGATCCTTTCCGACTCTAGGGTGATCTGCTCAAAGGCTGAGTCGCACACAAAGCGCTCACGGACCTTGAACGGGGAGAGCACTGCTGATCAGACCAGGCTCCACCCAGCCGGGCTTGAACACCTCCACGAGCATAGGGCAGGGCAGGGGCACAGGAAGGAAGGGAACTGGAGCCGGCCCAGGGCTGTGCTGTGACTGGGGTGGGCCCTCAGTGGTGGAGAAACTCCGCTGCCCTCAGGCTTGAGGGGTGACTGGGGCCAGGCTGCGCTCCTGACCTCTTCCCACGCAGTGCCCAGCTCCAGAGCAGGCACGGCCTGCCTCAGCATGCTTCGAAAGGCAGCTTCTCTGCGCCGCATCCTTCGTGCTTCCTCCTTTTCCCGTTCCCTCTCCCGTGCCTCTGCCTTCTCCAGCAGCTGAAGACAGAGATGCAGAACAAGGTCACCCAGAAGGGTGAGTGCCCAGGGCCCACTCAGGCATACCTTAAGAGGTAGAAAGTTGGGGTCTGGCCTTCTGTCATGATCCCCTGAACCCAGGACAGTCAGTAGGACAAGAGTGAAAAGGGAAGGAGTAAGACAATGGGATGAGTAAAAAAAAATCCAAGACCCACCCCACCCTGCCCCTCACACTATTGAAGGTCAGCTTGATGTTGCCTGCGTCCAGCGCAGCAGCCCTCTTGTCAAAGCTTATGACGTGGGCGAAGTCTTCAAACGCTGTGTTCACCTCCACGCAGAAGCCCCGGTCCTGTAGGCACAGCAACACATGAAGCAGAGGGTACCACAGGCCTGAGGCCTAAGGCTGACAGGCATAGGAATCAGACCAGAGAATGTTCAAAAAGCCCCTGTCCTTAAGAAGGTCCACACAACTGTGTCACACTTCAGAAACCACATGTTTAAGTCATCATCTGACAAGCTCCCATGCCTACCCCTGGTCTGGTTGTCACATGGAGCTAAAGGGCTGGTGATGTCTCTGTTTGCTGAGTGATGCCTAAGTTCTCACAATTAGCTCTTTGTTCCTTTGGCTTATAGCTGTGGTCCCAGTTAGATCTTCCTATTGCTCAGGGAAGTTTCATGAATTCTCAATCAACATCTTCTGGTCTCTATGTTTTGGATCTAGTTATTGAATGCCTGTTATGTACCAGAAACCCTCTGTGAGTGCTTCACCCACATTTAATCCTCCTGGTTATAATTTGGAACAAGTCCTAGTATACTAATTTTACATAGGACAAATGAGAGCACCTGCTCAAGATCTCATAGGTGAACCTATGGCTGGGAAAGAACATTACCCCAGGTCTTTCTAGCAGAAATGGAGGCCATCAGGTGAGCAACTCCCCAGCAATGTTAGAAACATGCCCCATTTTCTGGCACCATGGCCAGGCTCTGTACTTATCACCAAAGCCTCATATCCCAAAGAGACAGAGGATTAGAATGATTTATTTGGCCCAAGACAATGCAAGTGATGTGGAACCACTAGGGCTCAAGTCAGCAGGGACACAGCCATATTCCCTACTCTCACTCTACATCTACACAGCTCTAACTTCCTCTGATCTACCCGCTGAGGGAGGAGGTTTGCTCTTCATTCTCTCTATAAGTACTTCCTCAGCTCACACTTCTCCAACCCTTCTCAAATACATTCACTTTCTTAGGGAAGTGTGAATTTCTTAGGCTTCAATATCATCCGTACTGGCTCCTTCCATCAAGCACACACCTCACTTTACCTGTAACATCCCTTCCATCCTGCTCTCACTTCCTCAAGCTAACTACCCTTGCTTTTCTTTAGTTTCAAAATCTCTTAAAATGCAGTACAAAGGAAAAGGAATAAACATTGACAGCCTGTTATAGGCAAGACGTTTTACAAATGTTATTTACGTTTTACAAATGTTATTTTAATTCTCATGATCTTGCAAATGGATTATCCCTACTTTACAGAAAAGGAAACTGAAGCTCAGAAGTACTATGTAACTTGCAGACGTCTCAGCTGATAAGAGCCAGGAATTACTTGACTCTGAAACATGTTGTCCCAAAGCCACTGGCTTCATGGTCACACTCTCCCAAGTCACTCATATTGTAATAGTCAAATTCAAGGGTTCCTGTTCAGTCCTCATTCATCTGGTCCTTGGTACTTCTGCTGTTTACTTCTTCAACACTATCCTCCTTCTTTAAGTCCCTCCTATACCTACCTCTTGTCACCTCTCTTATATGTATATGATCCTAATAATAGCAGTTTATCCTTTTTTCACTACCTGATTTATACTTTCCCTGAAAACCTCATCCTTCACCTCTCTGCTGATTTTCAGACCCATACGAGACTGTATATTTCACAAACACTTCAAATTCAACAGATCCTAAGATATATGCTCCCTTGGGATATGCTCGCATATACTCCTCACCTCCAAACTCTTACTGATCTCCCACAGGCCCAGTCATCTATCTCCAATTATCTACCTGTCCCAAGTCCAGGCCCTGTGTTATCCTACAGATGAGAGGGGCCACCATAGTTCACCTGGCTGTGGATGGCCACAGAAAACTCCTGATCTCATTTGTCTTCTAAAAGCAGTAGCCCACATGGAGGAACAGGAAGAGGAGCTGTCTAAAACAGTATTTCTCAGGTGCTGTGGAAAGACAGAACTTAGCAAGGGCAGGAGCCCTGCAGAACAATTGTCAGTATCAGCCACTCTATGGCTAAAAGTTAACCAGGCAAAAAATTAACTATATCGGGATATTAGTTATTTTATATAACTATCCTATTTAAAATACAGTATTTGCTTTATTCTTCCTTGCTCCAGGTTGCTTTTGAGAGTAATTCCCCTATTGGAATTCCTACTGTAATCCTGCTCTTCCTGCTTATTCCTTACTAATGGTGACATCATTCATGGCCCCATCCCTGTACCTCCTCCTTAAGTTTATAAAACAACCTGGCAATTCCACTTTTCAGTGACTCTATTGCACTGTTTTTAAACTTTTCAAACAAGAAACTTTTTTTCAATAAAAATCATATGTAGCATCTCAATGTATTAAAGAGATGCAAGCTCCTCCATTCAAAAACAGAGGAAGAAGTATAGAGTCCCCAGATACTAAACCTCCACCCCTTGCTTTTCTCAAGGCTTAAGCCCAGCTGGATTCCTACAGCTCATTCTCCTCATGTGCCATCCCCACTGCCTTGCCTGGAGATCACCACCAACCTAGACCCTGAGAAGGCCAGCTGACTGGTCTCCCTGTCTTCATTCCTCCTTCCTTCATTCCTAACCCAGCCTCTGGCATTTAGTACTGCTCTGACTTTGGTACCAAGTAGCCTTGGTATCAGAGAAGAGGCCTGGGGATAAGTCAGAGGATGACTAAAACTTAAAAAGTATCTGAATTACTTGCCACTGTCACTTGAGGTTTCTACCACTGTCTCCACCACTAATATCTCCCCTAGTGACATAAACACTCCAGACTGGGAGGTGCTACCACACACTATAACCAATGGCTTTTCCAAGATGCCATATGATATTACTTACAAGATAAAAATCCAAATTTCTTATTTTAGCATTCAAGACACTTTACATGCAGGGCTTTACTTCCACACAGGGCATATGGTTCCGGAGAAACAGAGGAAGTCACAGGACAATATGATACATCTTACCTAATAGTAACTTAAAAATATTAAATTCATATTAAATAGGAAGGTGATGTGGGATTAAAATGCAGCATGTGCATGAGTTTGTAAGTTAAAATAAAAGACTTCAAAGAAACTTCATAGGGCTGAGGATGTACTCAGTGGTAAAGCACTTACCTAGCATGTGCTAGGCCCTGGGTTCAAGCCCCAGTACCCCCACACACACACAAAAAAAGGTGGTATGTGCAATGGTACTATCTTATTAACTTTATTCCTAGGTCCTTCTCAACTCAGACACCAAGTTAATCTCACCTGTAATTAGGTGTCCTTTGGTAGAAAACTCACCATTTTTTAAATAAGGAAACCAAGGCTCAGAAAGATTAAATGGCCTAGTCAAGATCACATATTAGTAAGGGATTAATCTGGACTGTTAGCCCAGTCTGCCTCAGGTTCTGCTTCTTACCACTGGCCTGGACTGAACTATCTCCTAAAAATGCACTGGAATGTTCTTCACTTCCAAAGGAAAAATGCTTTCTTTTGAAACATTAGAGTCTCTTCACTTGCATAATTACCCATCTTTTCTAACTGTGACAGACATGGGCACTATTTCTTCAGTATAAAGAAAGTGGCAGTGCACATGGGATGGTACATGGCAGCTGACACTCAATGCAGTATTAAGAAGGCATTAAGGAGTAGTGAGGCAAAGAACAACGTGCCCTTTCTGAGAAGGCAATGGCATCTCAGTCTGATTCCACAGAATGCCTCACAAAACCAGCCCAGTGCTGCCTGTCTTTTATGTTAAATCTTCCAATTTAAAAATGTTAATAATGAATTCCAAATTTTTTCTAAACCACCGTGCTGGTCAGAAAGCATATTTATAGACTATTAATTTATAATTATCTATACTTTTTGCTCCTCAAACTCGCCATACACTTTCCACCCACCTGCATTTTTATGCCTAGGACATTCTGCCCTCCTCTACTCCTTTATAAAAGTGCAGTTCAAATGACAATTCTTCCAATTAATCTCTGTAATAACACCTGCTCCCCTGCATAACTGTTCTCATGTCTATCTTTGTATAGTACCATGAGCTCCTATGAGCAGAAATCTTGTCTTATTCATTACTATATCCCAATTCAAGGTAAAGAACCACAGTAGATATCTGCTGAACAAGCTGCTACACTCTTACAAAATGGGACTCATCAGGGAATCTGTGCAGGGGCTGTGGCTTGCACATAGCCTGTGTTCATCCATAACCCCAGGTTCCCCTCACCTTAAGAATGTCCTTAATGATCTTCTTCTCATCATGAAATCGTGCCTTCAACTCTTCCACATAGAACTTGAACAAGTCCAGAGGGGTAGAGCCTGCAGGGAGGGAGGGAGGGGGGGCCTGGCGGGCGACAGCTTCCCAAGGCCTGGGGTGGGGTCGAGGACAGGACCAGGGAGTGGGAATGCAGAGGCGTCAGGGCAGGAAGCCAGACCAGAGAAGGGGGAGCCTGGCTGCCTTACCCGGCTGGCCCAGCATGTTGGCAAAGCGGACATCAGTGCTGACTGCTGGGTACAGCTCCATCCAGGTGGACATGGAGTGCAGCTGCCCTGTCTCGTGCAGCTCATCCAGGAAGGTCTAAGCAGGGAGAGGCCAGGGATAGGGAAAGTGAGATAGAGAGGAAGAAAGGGAATGGCAGAGGGAAAGGCAGGGGCAATCCAGAATCAGGAAATCCAGGCAAGGGAGGCAGAGATGAGATACAGATGTAGAGGAAGAGAACACTACTAAAAGAGAATATAAATATGGAGGGACAGAGCAAAAAATGAAAACAAGCCAGCCTGGGAGGCAGAACCATCTTCCATGGCTTGGTTGCAACTTTCTTTTGTGATCCAATCCAATTAAATCATCCCCATACTGCCACCCGTAAGTTGGAGGATAATCTCTACCTGTCTGCTCCCCACCCAAAGGAAATGCACATGGCCTAGCTGCCCCACTGCCTGCAGGGTGCTCTCTGCTGGTGGCTTCTGAGAGGTACATACATCTGGTCTCCCTAGAGGAGCACAGTCCAGAGTTGAAGGGACACAGCAGGGAGCAGAACTGGAAGCAGAGAGAGGCCTTGTGAAGCTTGGACAAAAGAGGGACAAAGCAGGCAGCCTAGCCCAAAGCAGGCAGGGCATGGGTAGAAGTTACTGTCTGGGGTAGAGCTGAGCTCTGATCCCCAAGGGCAGCAAAAATACCTGGAAAGCCTCCCGGTTCTTGCGCTGCTGGCGCCGTTCCCGAAGTCGGGCCCGTTCCCGCTCTTCCTCCTCCTCCCTCTCCAAAGCTCGGATGTGCTCTTCAAAGCAGATCAGGGCATCTTCCTTGTCCATGTCTATAGGTAGGAAGGAGGCTCAGCAGGTGCCATACTAGCAGGATACCCTCTCAGATTCAGTACCCAGTGTCTCAAGGTTGATGTTCCTATGGGTACTGGGGACACTCAGGTTAGTGGGGAAAGCAGAGAAAAGGACTCTGTGGGAGTAGCTACTTCAACGGCAGTTCTTGAGGGAGATCATTCATTGCATTAGAAAAAAATCAGCAAGTTTTCAGCCCTGATGTGATTTCTGGTGTGAGTTACTAGAAGCCATCCCATGAAACCCGTTTTCTCAGGATCTGAGGTTTCACATCATAGGGAAGCAAAGTCAATCAGGCTTTGATGTAACTTCTGAAAATAATTTGTCATATCATCAGTGATCACAGGTCAGCAACTGTTTATTATAGCATCCATGACCAGTTAATGCCCTGATGCTATGACAATTTAAGACTACAGTCACATAAACTACAAATATGATCATCATCTCCAGGAAAGGGAGGCAGAGAGGCGGAGATACAGATGTAGAGGAAAAGAACACTGATTCCTATATCCCAGAGCTCTTCCTCCAAGAACACACAATGTCCAGGTCAACAGTGAACTCCAGAGGGAGGGAGAGGATATCTAGTGACTTGAGTATTGGAGACTTCTAGAATGAGCAGGAGGTGCAACGGAGTGGTATGAGGCAAGCTCTGGGGTCCCAAGTCATGTAAAAAGGGGAAGGGTCAAGTGGGAGTAGAGACTCAAGCTTACTTTGCAGCTGATGGTCCTGAGCAAAACTGGGGTTATCCATGAGGTATTGTTGAGCCTGGGACCATGTGGTCTGGAAGTTGACACTACTCATTCCATCCAGGATGCTCTTCAGGGCCTGAATATTTCGGCGCCGGAGCTGCTTGGCCTGTTCCTGGGGAGCCACAGGATCAAGATGAGGCTAGGCAAGCCAGAGCTACCCAAGTGGGCCTGGCAGAGGAGAATTCGGGAAAGGAAGTATCTCAAGAACCCTAGGAGGAGGACTAGACTTTCATGTCCCCAGGTAGGGAAGGAACCAACCTGTCCGATTCCTCCTTGCCCTCCCAGACCCAAGACTACAGGCTCAAGGCAGAAATGGAGGGACCTATAAGTGTCACATCAGCTTCCAAGTCAGGAGCTGGGACATTGGGGAGTAGAGAAATAAATGGCCAGAGTCCATAAAAGAGCAAAGACAAGGAAGGTCCAAGATATTATTGTGTCTGAAGGATCTGGCCCAATGACCATTTACCTTCTCTTTCTTGGCCAGGAAGAAGAGGACATCATCATAAACCTCTTTTCGATCCCTCTCAGGGACCACAGCCCAGACCTCCAGTTCCCCAAAGGTCTGTTCTGCCCGCCTGTGGAGCACATGGGCTGTGAGTAGATAGGCAGAGAGCAGATCACTGAGCCTTTGTGTTCTCCGGGTTCCCAAGCCCCAGCCCAGCCCAGCCCCCTAACCGGTAGCGGGTGGTGGAGGTCATGCGTTCATGCTGTTCCAGGAAATGCTGTAGGGTCTGCTTGGCCTCCTTGGCCCTTAGCCGGGCCTCTTCCTTCTCCTCCTTCTCCCGCTGTGCCTTGTAAGCATTGAATGCCTGCTTTTTCTCACTTAGTTTGGGCAAGGCACTAGGGTACAAATGGCAAGAATGGAGTGGAAACAAAAGAGTCTGCTTGAACCATCCTCTGTAGCCCACAAAGTAGGATCACAGGACACTGGGGGTCTCCACGAGCTGAATGGGGGGCAGGGCATGTAAGGGCTCAGCCTACAGATGTGAGGGATATGGGCAGGAGTGAAGTAATAAGGGGAAGAGACAACCCCCAGACACTGCTAACACTAGGCTCTTTTGCTTTGGTGTTCTCAAGTTGCTATCAGACCTCTGCCCTACTCAGGTCTTTCTTTCTCCAATTAATTCAATTCGATTCAATTTAATCCAATAAGCATTTATTGAATGTCTCATGTCAGATACCTTTCCATTTTCTTATCCTAGCTTTTCCTCCCCTTGCTCTCCAATCTGGTCTGTCACTTTCCTAATTCCAGACCCCTTGAGCCTGATCTTGAGTTGGGGCTTCTCAGGGAATTCCTGGCCTGGCTCCCTCTGCCCATGCCTACCTGTAACGGGGATCTGTGACTACCATCTTCATGGCCTGTTCCCATGAGGCATTGGAGGGGACAGCCTGGAATAGAGTAAGTAGGGGTCATGGGGCCTGCCCACCTCCAGATTCCTCCTTTCAGGTCTTCCTCCAGGAGCCCCACCCTCAGCACCTTGTCCCTCAGCAGTTCCTTGAATGCCTGCTTTGCCTTCTCTCGGTTGCTCCAACTGAGGCCAGACCTCTCTGGTTCTGGCTTGGATTCCTCCTCCTCTTGCTGTGTTAGCTGATGCTGTCCAGCAGAACTGGGGGGCAGAGGGGACTCAGCCACAGGGTACCCAGCCCTCACTGCTTTCAGTGTGCTGTACTCTCAGCAACATTTCACCCTCCTTGCTTCCCACAGTAGCCACTTGCTTCCCTTCAGAGGTCATTGCCCAGATCTTTATACCCCTCCCAAGAGGCCTGGCAGAGAATGAAGAATGAACCAGGATAAAAGCCTGAGGCTAACATCTGGATTGCTGTTGGGGGCAGCCCTCACCTGCTGGGGCCCTCCTCTGGCTGCTGCAGAAACCCCTGCTCCAGGGGCTGGGCAGCCTCCGACACATCACAATCTTCACTCCCACCTGGCTCAGGTTCCAGGAGGCCCTTGGGCATTGGAGTGGGGCCAGGAGGTGCAGGTGGGGGGTCAGGCTGAGGCTGAGGCGGCTGTGGCTGTAGTGTCTGCGGCTGTTGCATTTTTCTGTAGATAAGCCAAAAGAGTGGTGAGGAGCAGAGCAGGGATAGAGAAGGGCAGGTGCTTGCTGGCGTCTTTACTCCGGGAAGGACTGGGGCCAGAGCAAATGACCTCACAAGGAGACTAAGAGCTGATTCCTCTCACAGAGTAGGGATACTGCAGAATTCATTCCCAACCCCCAAGTATGAATGGATAGGTGGGTGAGTCACTCACCCTGCAGCCTCTTGTTTGACTAGAGCTGCAATGGGAAAAGAACACAGTCAGAGTAGCAAAGGACCCCCACCACCTTGCCCAGACCTCCCCTTCCTCCCAGGACCCCTCACCCTCCAGGTCATCCAGGTCCTTGGGCCGGGTCCAGCAGGACTCCTGACTCTGGTTATTATAGTAGTAAGGTTTGCCTGTGTCTGACTTGTACTCTTTCCAGGGACACTGAGACAGCAGCAGCTGCAAGAGGATGGGTCAGAGGATATCAGTAGGCTGGGGAGCTCTCTGGTCACAAGGGAGCTAATAAGACCCAGTGAATAGAGGACACAGTAGTCTTGAGCTACCATCTAACCTGGCTCAAATGGGGAACATGGACTTCCTAAGATCCTAGGGAGGTATTTCTAGGGAGCATGGGGGTGGGCCAGGCAGCTTGGGACCTCTAATTATAATTAGTCAGAGATTCAGGGGAAGGACTTGGAAGGGTCAGCGCAGCTGAAAGGAAGGGCCAGAAAGCCCCACTCAGGACCTCCGCCTTGGACTTGAGCACGCTGGGCTTCTCCCACACGGACTGCTTGTCGTCAGCATTGTAGTAGTAGATGCGCCCATCAGGGGCCACATGCTCACTCCATAGGGCCCTCTGGGAGGAGGGGGGTACAGAATGGTGGTCAAGGCTCCTTTCTCAAAGCCTCTTCTTCTCACCCCAAAGATTTAAATACCAACCTCCCATTTTCAGCTTTCCTACCCAGAGACTCAAGCTAGAAACTCACCGGAGGGCCTGTCCCAGCCACAGCAGCTAGAAAAGAAGCCAAAGGAAATGTACTAAGTTTTTGTGTTTTAAACCCACATCTTATCCCCACTTAGTCCTCCCTTATTCCATCCCCAGTAAATATCTCCCTGGTCCCATCAACATCCCAGGCTCCCTGGCATCCCAACAGGCATGATCCAGGGTGGGTTCCAATCCATGGTCCCCTCTCCCCTGTACCCCCCAACCTCCGAGCCTGGGGGGAGCAGGCCCCCAGAAGACTCACAGCTGGCGGTGTCCGCACCCGGAGCCGTCTGCCGAAGAAAGAGGAGGGGGAAGGGTTGGGGCCAAGCCCAGTGGCCCCCAGGACCCAGGCCATGGGGGATGGAGAAGCAGGCCAGGCCAGGATCTGTGTGTCCTGCTCCCAGGGATCTCTCCTCCCTAACAGATCCCCTCCCTCCTGCCAGGGCTATGGCTCTCAGATCCCAGGGGGAATTGCACAACAGCTCCTTTCTTCATTGTCCTCAAGTCAGAGTATTTTGAGTCAACTTCAACTCCTGAGGCCCATCTCTTCAAAGTAGACGCCAAATTCTATATCGCACTCAGACTCTACTATACTGAGTACAAGAAAGTTTAGCGAGATCCCTGGATGCCACTGCCTCCTCCAGAAGCAAAGAGCATGTGAAGAAAGGACTGTATTAGTGTGTCCACAGTGCATGGCCATGTGATGGAAAGAAGTGTCTGGTATGAGTGTGCTCCTGAAAGGTGCTGTGTGTGCACGGTGGTAACAAAGAATATATATGCCTTTGGGGACAATCAGGAAACTAAAATTGCTGAGTATGCAGCTGGGGAGGAAGATTCCAGCATGGGGAATGCTGCTGGGGACCAGGGTGGATATAAGAAGAGGGAGAGAAGTGGAGTCCACGCCCTTGTACTCCAAGTCAGACCCACAGAATTGCAGGGTACAGCCTGCTTCTTGCCAGCCCCTAGAGCTTACCGCGGCAGTGACAGGCACTGCTGGCATCAGCATTCCTGGCATCATCGGAGGTACCATTCCTGGTATCTATGGATATAAAACCAGCCACTGAAGTTAGGGCAGGTGGATAGCGTCCCTTTCAGTTGGGGGTCCTAACAGATCCCACTGGGGTGGCCCAGGCAATCCTCAGGTTCTGGGTTTTCACCTTTCCTAAGAGTTGTCTCAGTCATTCAGCAGACAAATCCACATGGGCCTGGATCAAAGATCGTTTCTCTTCCTAGTTTCTGAAGTCTGAGTACCTCTCATTTCCACCCCCAATTAAACAAACAGGGTTTCCTGAGGCCCTCTGGAGGGAGACAATTACCTGTGTGAGTGGTGGTGGTGCCCCCATTGGTGGAAGCATTGGGGGCAAGATGCCAGGTGGCAGGGGGGGGATGGCTGGTGGTCTCTGACTCATGGGTGGGAGCCCCATCGGAGGAAAGGGTGGGGGGATCCCTGGAGGGGGCATCTGGAAGTGAGGAAAGGAAGAAATATTGAACAGAGGAACACTGCCTTGCTAGGGACAGAGAAGACCCGTCAGGAAGCATCCACCTGTTGTCCACCCAGCCCTCCACCCTGGCTTAGAGGTATTCCAAGGCTTTCATTTGAGAAGCACAAGGCATGAAACTGCCTCCCTCCTCACCACTGAGAAAGACAGGTAACTGGGGAGTTCTCTGGGTTTAACAGGCAAGCACACAGCTTCCTAAGAGGCAGGAAAAGGAAAGGGAACTGAAACAGCACCAGACTGGGGGAAGGCTATAACCCTTCAGCATTGTTCCCCAAGAAGCCTCTCATGTGAAGGGCGGAAGGCAGCCATCCCCAGTTCTTCTGCCTCCCCTTTTTCTCTGACTCTACCAATGTAATTCCAGCCCAAATTCTATGGCTTTTTAAAAAAGAGCACAGGTAAGGAGTAGTGAAAGAGAAAGACAGACCCACCCTGCGCTCATTCTAATGGAGTCTTTTCTCTTCCACTTCTACTTCCATCCCCAGTGTGTCCAAGGGACAAAAGGACAAAGGGGGAACTGTCATCTTTTCGGACTAGAGCTTTACAGTAGCTCTCCCCACCCCAATGCCCAGACAAAACCACCCCTCTTCCAAGGGCAGCAAAAAGGTGCATTACAGGAGAACCGTGCTGGCGATGCAGCAGTGGCAAGGGCTGGGGAGTTGAGGGTGCAGGCTGGAAAAGCCAAGCCCAGGGAAACACATAAAACTTACGAAGGGTGGTGGCATCATGGGGGGCCCCGGTGGGAAGGGGGCAGGCGCTGCTGGGGGCCGGGGACCAGAATCGGGAACCGACTGTTGAGGGAGAGAAAAGTCATAGGACCCAGGATGGGCAGAGAGATGGGCTTTTGCGGAAGGGAAGCAGAAAGGGTAAAGTTGAAAAAGGAACACAAAGTTCAGACGGGGTCTCCAAGCCCAAATTCCTACCCACCCCAAGTTCTGAGTCCTGGGAAGGTCTGTTCTTTCCGTGTCAGTCTAGAGCCAGCTGGCTGAGACCTTCAATGTCATCTTTATTTTGGGAGTTTCCATTTTGCCAAAGCCACAGAAAAGAGAGAAGACTCCACTATAGGTATCCAGCTTTTCCCATGGCTTTTAACCATTTTCCTGCCAGTGGCAAGGCCTCTCTCAAAGCAGCGGCCTCTTTTTCTATTCCTCTACTTCCATTAACCCAGTTAGAGAGTCAATCCAAAGTTCTCTAAACACAAACAGTTGTCAACCTTTTACAGTTCTAGTCTAACACACCTCTTTTCACTCCAGCTTCCTCCCCTAACTAACCTCATCTTCAGTCTTCTGCTTTGGGCATCTTTCAATTCCAATCAATAACTTCATCTCTTTGTACCATCCCCTTACCCTGATAGATAGCCTTCTTTTATAAATCCTGAACTCATCTCACTGTGGATAAAGTCTATAAACAGCCTAAATCTTCCTGTTCTACACCTAATGGCAAACCACAATCCCACCCTTTAGTTCTCAGCTTAAATATCATTATTCCAAGAAGGCTTCCTGACTATATTTAAAGTAATTCCTTCCAATTTATTCTTATCCCCCCTTTTTTAGTATCCTTGATTTTTTTTATTATGTTTGCTGGCATAGGTGTTTCCCCCACTAGAGAGTAATAACATTCCATGAGGGCGGGATCACATCTGATTTGTTGAAAGCTGGATTCCTGGTAGCCAACACAGTGTCTGGCACATAATATGTACTCGATAAATACTGAATGAAAGAACAAATAATACAACAAATCTTCTCTATACCGAACCTTAATATTGTAAAAAGACATCCTATACTTAAAGCTGCACGTGGCCAAAATAATATATGCACATGATTTTCATTTATTAGTCATAAAAATAGAAAATCATAATCAGTCTAAATATCCAACAGTAATGAACCAAGAAACCAAACACAATGTAAAATGGAATACTATACAGTTATAAAGAACCCACTCAACTGTCTCCTTACAGACCAATCTCTAAGATGTATTACAAGTAGAAAAAGGAAAGGTACACTAAAGTTTTATCATTTGTATATAAGTAATAAAGGGTGACACATAAGACAATGGTGGAAGATGGAAAGAGGTGGAAGACTTTTCAACGTATGCCTTCTTGTATTTAAAAAAAATTTAATTGTAGTTGGACATAATACCTTTATTTTATTTATTTACTTTTATAGGGTGCTAAAGATTGAACCAGGGCCTTACACATATTAGGTGAGCACTCTACCACTAAGCCACAACCCCAGCCTGCTTTTTGTACTTTTTGAATATGCGATCATAGGTCTATATGACCCATTCAAAACATTTGAGTGAATTAAGGTTTGGAGGTACTGCTAAAAGGCCTATCTTCCTTTCTCTCCACTTGAAAGTTGGAGAGCTCTAGGGAAAGGTGGTAGTTGGATAAACAGAAGCAAAGCAACCTCACCACTACCTATGCTAAAAGGCTCACATTTAAAATGCTTTCTAGGGCTGGGGTTGTGGATAAGTGGCAGAGCACTTGCCTCACACACGTGAGGCACTGGGCTTGATCCTCAATACCTCATAAAAAAATAAAAATATTATGTCCACCTATAACTAAAAAATATTTTTTAAAAATGCTTTCTGATCTCTTCCTTTAGCAAATATTTATCCTTTACCATGTCCTAAGAAGAGAATGAAATGAGCTAAGCTACTCCAGTCTGACTCACCTTTTCTGTGTTCAGCTACTTTAGCCCTGTACTTACCCCTTCAAACTTTCCTCAGCATGGATGTCAGAAACTATCCAACATGGGAAGCAATTTGATTTTCTGTATCTCTCTCCCACCTCAAGCTGCCTTAGGAACATAACCTTCCAGATAACCATTTTTAGGTCTTAACCTAGCTCAGGGCCTGTGAGGTTATAAGAGGTCTATTGACAATCACACTGTCAGCCTCATCCATGTTCAGGTCTGTGCTCACCACACTCAACCATATTTACTTCTTAGTTCGCCCACCTCAGGGATCTTACCTGTAGCTGGGACAACACTACCAACTTACCTAGATACACTTCACACTGTGCCATCCCCTTGATAGCCATTTCCTGGGAAAGCCTTTACTAACCTACTATACTAATCAGAATCCTTATTTATATACTCATTGAATACCATATGCCTTCCCTTTAGCAACTGTCCATTGGAAATTTAGTTATTTGGGCAATTTTGATGGTACTAGTATCTTATGTGACACTAATAAAAAAGAAATGCTGCCTATTATGATAACCCATTGACTTTCAGACACATCTTGACTTCAGAAATATTGAGTCTTAGAATCAATGAAATATGCTAAGTGCACATCAATCCCATTAACTTGGGAAGGTGAAACAGTAGGATCAAAAGTTCTAGGGCGGCCTCACCAACTTAGTAAGAACCTGTCTCAAAATTAAAAAAAAAAAAAAAAAGAAATTAATGAGATATAATGTTTGTAGTCCCCACCCCAAACTCTGAGGGACAGGGGTAGGTGCTAATATTAATTGGCTTAACAACTGAATGGTCTTTCCACCAAATAGCAGGGATCATTGGTAAGGCCTAGGAGTTACTGAGGGAACACAAGAATGTCAGAGGTGGAAGGGACTTCAGCAGAGAGGACTACTCAAGGTAGTCCTCTCTTTTCATATGAAAAAGAAAAGGGGGCTGGGGATGTGGCTCAAGTGGTAGCGCGCTCGCCTGGCATGCATGCAGCCCGGGTTTGATCCTCAGCACCACATACCAACAAAAGATGTTGTGTCTGCCGATAACTAAGAAATAAATAATCTCCCCTGCAAACTAAGTGGTTAAATCAGCAAGGAGCCAAGATTTTTTTTTTTTTTTTGCTTTCTCTTAGAGTGGTTTCTTATAATTTAATCTACAAAATCTCTAACATTCAAAACCTTTCAATAGGGGCTGGGGCTGTGGCTCAGTGGTAGAGCGCTCGCCTGGCACCACATACAAAGTAAACAAAAAAAAGGTTATCGTCTCCACCTACAAGTAAAATAAATAAATAAATAGATAAATAAATAAATAAATGTGTGTGTGTGTAGTGTATGTATATATATGTGTGTGTGTGTATCTCAAACCTTTCAGTAAAGCCCATCTCATCCCATACCCTTGGCTCATCCTGACTCAATGGCTTTCCTCCTCTTCACATAGGAATTGTTAGATTACTTTCATGTATTTTTTTAAATTCTGTTTTGTCTATTGCTTTGTTCAAGATTCAATATTCACCTCCTTCAGGTTCCCTTTATACTATCCCCCACATATACACACATTCCTACCTGTGTGTATCCCTCTGGGATAAATGCTACACTTTGTAGCAGTGACATGCTGCTCCCTGAATGTTTGCTGAGTAATGTGGGATGAGCTCGCTCCTCACTCAAATGGGGATTTCCCTATATTTAGGAATCAAGTTTTCTCCTTTTAAACATTCCTTGAGTGCCTAATCCTTGCGCTGTACACAAAGTGTTGTGATAAAATTTAGTCTCATCCCTAACTTTATTAGATTTTTGCATACCTAAAAGTGTGCTGCAATTGTGTCCAGGTATGTTTGTATAAATTCCCAGTACATTCTTTGTTGTGAGAGAGAGAGAAGTATCTTGGCAGAAGTCTCTCTGGCTTAAGAAAAGCAAACTGGAATCAAGTACTGGCATGGGAAAATCTAAATAATAAAAATTGACTGTATATGATCACCTTCATCTTAAGATGAATAACTGTGGCAAGAATTCATACACTGGCCTATTTTGGTCAGTTCCCTGCAGAGGATAGAACAAGGGAATGCATATAAATTACTATGGGATTCCCAAAGCTCACCCTTCCCAGAGATTCCCCTGTGCTATGCATGTCCTTTCTTTCCTTAAACACCTGTCCCTCTTCCACTTGCTGCAATGGCAGCACAATTGTGGATCTGCTTGCATTTCTAGGTGAGACTATGAAAAAGATATTAGTTTAAGAGTTTTAAGAATGGGAGCTGAAAGAAGCAGATCCTGCATCTTCCCTAGAATAAAAACATACTTAGGGGCTGGGAAGAGATAAATAATGAAACACATGATCATCATGTGTCCACTTGGGCCAGATGAAGGACCCCTTCCCTGGATATGCCCCCAACAAAGATTTATCAATTATTCTCAGCATTCATATTTGAGGGTATTCTTAGAACTGAGCACTCAGGAAAAAGAACAAAAAAGAGAAAATGACAAAAATAAAGAGACAGAATGGAAAATGGGAATAACAACCATTAGCAGATAATCTTTACTGAGCACTATTATGGGCCAGATACTATGCCAAACACTCCATTTAATCCTCACAACCCCATTTAAGAAGTTTTTATGCCCATTTTATATGTAAAAAAGTGAGGTTCAGAGAGATTAAATTACTTACTTGATCAAGGTTTCAAGAGATTAAATGGCAGAGGCAGGTTTGGAATCCAAGCAGTCTGATTCCAAAGCCTGTGCTTTCAACCACTCCACAAAGCTGCCTCCCAGCAAGGAGGAGGACACTACAGATGGTACTTCTTATTCTCAGATTCAATCCCCTGTTTTCATATCACCCCAATCTTCATACACTCCTGAAATCCTCAGAGAGCCAAGGGATCCTAAGGTCCGCCTGGTCTGACTCATTCTCCCTCCCTAGAGGTGTTGGAAAAATGAAGACTGGGAGGCACATCTCTCAGAAAGAGGAGGCAGTCATCAAATAGAAACAGCTGAGGGCCGGGGCTGTAGCTCAGTGGTTTAGCATCTGCCTAACATGAATAGCCTTGGATTGGAACCCCAGCATTGTGTGGTGGCAAGGAGAGAAAAAGAAATAGCTAGAGACCAACTGATTATCCTGAAGTTTATCTACCTGCTATCCTTCTTTAGCCACCCCCATAGAGCATTAACCTTTCCATTCCTGATCCAAGACATTCCCACTCTCCTGTACTAGCTCTACTGTTCCTCCTACTCTCCAAAGAGCCTGGGGGGCCTTTCTAGAAAATGTATTCCCTGGCTTCTTTGACTCCCTCATCACCTCCTCACTCCCCCTCTTTAGAATAGAATGTTACATCTGGTCCTAGTCTTTCTAGCGTCAGGGTTCAACCTCCTCTTCTTAAGACAGTTCTCCCATTCCTCCAACAGAATTCCAGAGGCCCTGGCTAGCGGACTGAGCCTTGGAGGCTTTATGTCTCCCCTCCCCCACATCCCTGGGGATTTTCTCCAGCCCAGCTGAAAGCCTTGCCTCCTTCATGCTTCCTCACGTACTAGAACCCATTGGCCTTAATTTTATCCTCAAAAACTGCCCCATTTCGGAGCTGAAAGAGATCTGGGATACCATTTTCTTTTTCTTTTTTTAATCAATGAGAAATCCGAGGCCTAAAGAAAGGTAGTGACTTGCCCAAGGTCACACAGAGTAGTTACAGTTTGCTGATGGCAGAGCCAGGGCTGGGACCAAGAGGCCTCTCTCTGCTCTTCAATCTTTCGGACCACCCAGCACCGCGGTGAGGGCCAGAAGCCCTCCTTACCTCAGGAGACAAGGCTTTGCAAATGCGGGGAAAGGAGGGAGTCCCCTAGCGGTCCTAAGGGGCACCCAGGGCTTCCAAAGGGACAACCACTGGGACTGGGGGAGGGGGATGGGGCATGCCACATAGCCCAGGAAAAGAAACTGTGGTCCCTACCTCTCCCCTTGTCCTGTGGTCTCCTCATCTCTCACCCTCTCTCTTCTTTCTCAACCTTTCTACCCAAACCCATCCTTCACTTATTTCCTCCCAACCCTCACCCAGTCGCGCAACTCTCGTCCGCCTCAGCACCCGGCCGCACGCCCCCCCGCCATGCTTCATCATGGCCTCCCCCGCCCCTTCTCCCCCAAATCCCCGCCTCCATCCCCTTCCTGGGCTCCTACCTCACCCCTTGCTCCCCTCGTATTCCCTTGGGGTCCTGGGGACCCCGGTTGACCTCCCCGCCCCCCCGGCCACGGCCCGGGCCGCAGGGGGCGCTGTGGGACCGCCCCGGGCCCCTCCACCCCCGCGCGGGGACGTTACCATGCCAGAGCCTCCGAGCAGCTGGGCCGGCTCGGCCCACCCGCCAGTAAAAGCCGCTCTGATTGGCCGGGCCGTAGCCGGGAGGGCGGGGCCAGTCGGGGGTCGCACCCCTTCGTGGCCGGGACTCCGGTTGCTCCTTCCGACTAGCGGAGCCCCCAACCGGCCCGGTGCGCCCGGTCCGGACCCCGCCCCCCGGCACGGACAGCCAGGCCCCACCCCCGCGCCGCTGGGTCCAGGACCCGCCCCCAGGAGGCGGGGCGTGCCTGCCCCCCGCCTCTGACTGACAGACTCTGGGCTCCGCGGAGCAACTATAAGCTAGGTTCCCGCCGCCAGCGCTCTTCAGCTACTCTTACCTCCAAACCTGCCTCCAGCACCACATCGCCTGAGGCCGCATCCCCCGGCCTTCACTACCCCGCGGGCGCTCAAGACCAGAGGATGAACCGAAGCATTCGTTCCAATATATAGGACACTTTAAACTTTTGTTATTTTTGCACTTTTAAATTAATTAACCCACGAACTATTTACTGAGCGTACCTTTTTCAGGCACTGTAAACATACAGTAGTTTGAAATTAAAACAAAAAAATGTTTAATGATAAATCCCCCAAATCCCTGCCTTTATGGGCTGTACACGTGCTTTTCACTTGACCCTGAAGTTACTTACGGAATCTGGAAGCTACTTTTGAATTCATAAAGTGGTGAACTCAAAGAGAGCGGGGACCTGATCTTTTGTAGGAATTAAAAATGTGAAATACGTATTACGCAAATAAGATACTTGTAACCCCAAACACCCTTGGAAGGCTCTGCGAATTCTCCAGGAAAGAAGATATTTCAGGTCCGTCATTAGGCGCATGAACCCCAGTTTGGAAGCCACCTTCTAAAGCCAAGCAGTGGTTCTCGGGCCGCAAGCTGTGTAGATAGGCTGCAAGGACATGAAATTATTGACAGTTGAGATATACTTTTAAAATGACCTTCTATAAGTCCTTGCACAGAAGGTGCTTCTTGCTACAGACAAGTCTTCGAGGGAATTCCAGTCCTTTGATCTCTCTGGGCTTGGTCTCCAAAGACACTTGGGCGCGGTAGTCCACGACGGTAATCCCCGCGACTGGAGAGGCTGAGGCTATAGGATCGCAGGCTAGCCTGGGCAAATTAGCGAGCCACCCTGTCTCAAAATAGTGTAATAATCTAAAAAGGGCTGGGGGTCTAGCTCAGTAATAAAGTGCCCCTGTTCGATCCCCAGCACCCCCCACACACACACACACACACAAAATGACAGCTACGGTTGCTGTTGCCCTAGTCTCTCCATCCTGCCCCAAGGTGACAAGGATGGGAAGTGATCCTGGTTTCAGGGCCTGCACCAGCTTCTTGGTTGGATACCTGCCTCTCAGAAGACTTTGCTGATGACCTGGGCCTAAGGAGTAGCCAGTTGGCAGCTGTTTGCAAAGAGAGGCATGAACACAAGCTGGGGTGTCCATAGGACTCTCTATGAGGCTCTGTCAATGCAGTACAGCGCCAAGAACACAAAGGGGCCAGGCAAGAACATTTTCTAGTGTAGAATTCTGGAGAGTTCAAAAATTCTCATTTAGAACCTGATCTGCCAGGACCTTATGAAGGTATATTTTTATAAAGTTAGCAATTTAAAACATATTTAATAATTTGTTAACTTAGTCTATGACGTTGAAATATTTAGTATGTAGCTAGGCATGGTGTCACATGTCTGTAATCCAAGCAACTAGGGAGATTGAGGCAGGAGGATTGCAAGTTCAAGGCCAACTTTAGCAACTTAGTGAGACCCTGTCTCAAAATTTTAAAAAAGGGCTGAGAGTGTAGTTCAGTAGTATAGAACCTCTGAGTTCAATCCCCAGTACCAAAAAAAAAAGAAAGAAAGAAATAGTGTGATAGTGTGTGAGTCATTTATGGTCTTGCCTCATAGTCTTGTCTCAGCCTCCACAAATAACATGGGCAGGGCAGATTTGAGAATTTAGTTCTTTTCCCATCATCTGCCATCTGCCAAATTTAATTCTATAATAATTTTTTGTTAGTTCAATCTTCAGTTCTTACAACACTATGACTACTTATGCTATTAAGAGTTGAGTCAGGTAAGCAACTAAAACTTCCTTTCCTGCAAAAAAATTTTATTTTTCATGGAATTAATCATTATCTTGTGTTTTCTTTCTTTTTTAATGATTAATAGAAGATTTATGTAAGCAAGAAAACATTAGTTATCATTGCCAGACTTAATATATTAAATGTTCAGTGAAATTTCCCTTCCCAGGTAAGTTTTTCCTTCCTATCCTATTAGTTTTGAAACATAATACCAGAAAAAAGAGGTCCAATTCCAATCAGAGCACCTAAGAGTAAGTTCTTGGGAGTGGGTCTGAAATTCAGATAGATATTTGCTGATCTCGAATAGGTCCAGTGAATTAAGGCAGGATCTTCCATGACCCTTCTTGGTTATGATCATGGTTCTGAATGAAGGAGATAATCCTGTTCAAAGCCAGGCTTTTATGGCCAACCACTGGGTTTGAGTCTTCCTGGTTTCCAGAGAAACTAGGCTGGGTCCAGAGTAGGGGGCAGAGTGGCCAGGTATGACACGTTATACTTTGGGAATGACATCTTGGAACCCTGGTGCCTATCTTATGTTTTTATTTGCTTAATTTTCTATGTATTTATTACAAGATTTGCTTCAACTCTTCCCGCAAGAGTTTATCTGCATCTCTTCTCAGAATAGCAGGATACAGTAGATATTCTACACATTTCATCATCTGTTTTTTTTTAATTAGAGCATTATAGTTATACACAGTAATTGGGTTCATTTTGACAAAAATCAAACATGCATGAAATTTGATTTACTACATTTCTGTTCCCATTCCTTTCCCTTCCCTCCTGACTCTCCCTAATTCTCCTTCCTCTTCTGATCTTCCTTTCACTCTTATTTTGTTAAATTAATTCTGCATTTCCTTCCCTTTCCTGTCCCTCATCCCTCCTGATCTCCTTCAATTCCGCTGATATTTCCCATATTTTTATGATAACCAATCCCTTCCTCACGACTTTTCTCCCTTATTTTGCTCTAGCTTCCACATATGAGAGCAAACATTTGACCCTTAATTTTCTGAGTCTGGCTTATTTCACTTACAGATGTTCTCCATTCCATCTTTAATTGCAAATGCCATAATTTCATTCATTTTTATGGTTGTGTTTGTATTACACTTTCTTAATCCTTTCATCTATTATGGGCAGCTGGGCTGGTTCCATAATTTGGCTATTGTGAACTATTCTGCTATAAACATCGATGTGGCTACATCACTATAGTATACTGATTTTAGTCTTTTTGGATAAATACCAAGGAGTGGGATAGCTGGATCAAATGGTAGTTCTACTCCCTAGTTTTCTGAGGACTCTCCATACTACTTTCCAGAGTGGTTGTACTATTTTAAAGTTCCACCTACAATGAGTATACTATTTTCCCCACATTATCACCAACATTTATTTTTATTTGTGTTCTTGATAATTGCCCTTCTAACTAGAGTGAGATGAAATCTTAGTATAGATTTGATTAGCATTTCCCTCATTGCTAGAGATGTTGAACTTTTTTTTTTTTTTCCTTTTGCACTGGAGATTGAACCCAGGGGTACTTCACCCTGAGCCACATCCCCAGACCATCCCACCTCACCCCCACCGTTTTTTGTTTGAGGCAGGATCTCACTAAGTTGCTTAGAGCCTCACTAAGTTTCTGAGGCTGGCCTAAAACTTGAAATCCTCCTGCCTCGGCCTTCTGAGTCACTGGGATTACAGATGTGCATCATTGCACCTGGCTAGAGATGTTGAACATTTTTTCATATATCTGTTGGCTACCTGTGTTTCTTCTGAGAAATATCTGTTTAGTTTTTTTGCCCATGTATTGATTGGGTTGTTTTAAGCATTTTAAAATCTTTATATTTTCTGAATATTAATCCTCTTTCAGAGGAGGAGCTGGAAAAGATTTTTTCCCATTTTGTCCATTTCATCTCCTTGAAGCAATCTCTGCTGGAGTCTTCTGACAAGCTCCAATCTTTATCCCTGACCCTTGCTGCACATCTGGGAATCAGGCATCTTCTTTCCCATTCTCTTGGCCACTTTTTTTTTTTTTTCGACACTGTGCTTTGTTGGGTCTTTTATTTTCTATATTCTTTGTCTTTTCTTTCTTTCTGGATTTACTACCCCTGCCCCCACTTTCTTTCCCAGTCCTAAAGATCAAACTCAGGGTTTCCCTCATGCTAGGCAAGTGCTCTACTACTGAGCTACAGCCCCAGCCAGGCAGTAGACTTGAGTTATCCCATTGATGATTTTCTCCCTTCCATCTTCTCTGTTTAGAACTCCTATGATTTGATGATGAACCTGCTGGGCTTGTCCTTATAATTTATATTTTTTCTCTCCAATTTTCCATGTTTTTTATGTTTCTGGGAGAATCCATCCACTTTATTTCCTTCTATTGAATTTTTTTTTTCATATTTTAAAGATTTTTATTGCTCTCACTTTATTTTATTCTCCAAATATTTCTTTTTGCAGCATCTTATTTTGTTTCAGGTTACAATAGCTTATCTTGTCTTGAAATATATTACTGGAAGCTTT